ATTTACGCGCCTGTTGGCTTTCTTGGATGCCGTAGAAGTTTCGAGGGATTACTCTATGAAATTAATTCTTTGTCCCCGATACCAGTAAATGCCATGGTAGGCCCACATTTTACCTTCAAAACTGATGGGGCAGAAACCTGAATAGATGTATCGCTTAAAAAGACGATCTGCACATTTAGTATGATTCAACACAATACAAGTCCAAATACGGCATTGGAATTGAGAGAAGCTGTTGTGCGTTTGAACGGATTCTTCTTATATATGACCTTCTTTTGCGAAACGATGTAATTGCGAGCTCATTAGCGCACGGTGCGTTAATCGACTGACTCATGTGGGTAGAATCTAGTCTCTTGTACTGGGATATGCGATTGACGAAACGACGCTTCGGTGTTGATCGAGGCATTGCGTGGCAACTGAAACGTATCAATGTTTGTGTATTGTATGGGAACGAGGCTGGTAGCTTAATCGACATTCATTGGGAAGCGCTACAAGCATATGGAATGATACACAGTAGGAAGCGTAAGACGACAATTGGGCTTGGCAAGTTATTATATGTTCGATGATGCTGCATCCATCTTCATCGTATACGATACATGGAGAACGCTAGAAGCGCATGTCTTGCAAGTCCATGGATGACGCTTTTAAATCACACCAAATGCTCACTTTCCAGCTAGACTACAGCCCATCGTAATCTAATGTAGCGAGGGCGGAATCGATGAAGCAAGCCAGACATACTTCTCTCTGGACTGTATAATAGTAGCACTACTTATACGTGACAAGAAAACTCGTGTCGTCCATCGACGTCACACCGGCAGTGTGTCTGGACGATCGTGAAGAGCTTCAGTATGTACACATGTATACTTGTAGATATCAAGCATGCCCCGTTAATTGGCCTGACAAGATGATACTGACATACTGCCGATCACAATGATGCGAGCATCCGAACGATCACGCTAAGCAGAAATATCAAGATTGTTGATTGACCGTCATCGTGTCTACAATAACTCTCGTGCTTGGTGCATCATTTATCCAAGGCGGATCCAGAACTCTCCACTTTTCCGGTACGTTGCTGTGCAATTGTCGTTGTATGCCAATATCGTCTTGCTACACCGTGCCATGGAATAGTAAGAAGCCCACTTGATGCTACCATAAAGATGACACGTGCCGAGTAAGAAAAGATATGCAGCATGGACTAATACGTGCAATGCACTTTTTGATCCAACGAGAGATACTAACAAGCGTATTACAGTTGTAAATAGTAGAGCTCATGTACGTTGTACGTACTGAGCGACTAAGGAGATAGCGCATGTATTCCAGACTTATGAGTTCCGATATATTCTTCTCTAAAGGTATGAAAGTACCAACTTGTAGTTTGTGTTCTTGATGACAGATTTTTGTAGCAAACCATATAATTTCTGCTTTTTTGTTAGGTACGCAACGGTGCGATCCACTTCCGAGATGTATACCACATCATCAACATACTAGATGAAAAAGCATTACAGTATATTCTCCGTAATTTAGTGTTATTCAAGTAAATAAACGCCCTTACTTGATGAGAATGTCGAGTCCCATGTTGGGCTCAGAACAAATATAAAAAAATCCCATTAATCTTATCATTTAAGTCAGAGAATTTGTCCACCATACAAATATTCAAATACTGCCGGGGGACCACTACAAAAACAATAAATAGTTTGTTTCTTTGAGTGATTTTGGCTATAGATTTCCCACCCAATCATGCATCTTCCGACCATCCCTGAGACCTCCCCTCCAGTATCCTTCTGCAACCAGAGAGTCTTGAGCTCTGCAAGTATCGATGTAGCAATCCGAAGAGGGACAGGCGGTGAGGCCACGATATTGTCTTCCTTGCTGGATCTGCCACGTGCTGACTCCGGCAATTCAACGCTCTCGAGAATCTCTGCCTCTGTCGGAGTGTAGCTCACCTGTTCTTCGTCAAGAATGTTGGGCTGGAAGTCGATGGAAATCGGGTGGCGATAAAGTTGTCAAACTTGTCCCTAGAGGTCCGCAACGACCGCTTGCGGGACGTCCACGTTGAAATTTGCAGCGCTGTCCATGTCGGAGGTGCCGAGTTTGCAGTACGTAAAGCAGTTTCGAACGCACTCAAACTACACATCCAAGATCCATGCTGCATGCTCCATCTATGTCGCTTCTAAGGACGTTGATCTTTGCTGCGTCCGGCTGATTTTGTCTCGAGGCAATTTATGAGCTGACGGTTGAAGCGCCTACGGCAAAATTCTTTGAAGTTGCGTATCATTCTAACGTCGCAGGACTTAATCTTGCTGGTCGCATTGAAGGGAAATACAACAGCGTTTTATTCTGCAGTGACTTCGGCGTCTTCCAGACCCTCCTTCTTGATGAGCGCGGAGCAATTGTCGAGGATCAGAATGACCTTGCGACCGGAAACGTGTTTGGGAAGGCTTCCAGCCATAATTTGAATAAGTTGCGAGTCATTCACGCGTTCTTGTTGGCGTGATAGGCAACTCCAAGGCTTCAGCGGTCCACTTTTTGAAACATCGTGGGTTTAAGAACTTCTTGATGACCCATAGCGGAAACTTGTCGGACCCGTCTTCGTTGCTGCAGATGGTCATCGTCATCCGATCTGGATCTGCTTCTGACCCTCCAGCTGATTATTCAAAATAGATGTACTCGGCCCGCATTCAATAGAACAAGTTGGTCTCATCCATGTTATTGATATCGGCGGCGTTGTAATGGTCCAATTGAGCGCGGATTTCCGGCAGGCCTTCTTCCAGTGCTTCGACGTCGACAGATCCGATTTTGCCAAAGCAACAATGCCTGCGGATGCCGTGTCAATTTTGAATTTCTGCAACCAACTGATTGAGAATGCAGGTGCATCCTCATCCTAGACGGTTGGATACAGCGTCTTCATGGATGATGCCACTTTTTCCTGAATCAAGTGTCCGCTGATGTTGTTAACGCCCTGATACTTGATAATCCACCGAGCAAGCGCCTTCTTTACCAGTGCGTGTGAAAATGCACGCTGTCGCTTGGAATGAAGGGCTGCATCGCTCTTGGCTGGACCTAGCAGATCTGCAGAACGCTTTAGGACTTTGCTCATTGTCTTAAGTGTGACCGTGACTCTATGCTCCTCCAGCATCCACCGACACAGAGCTTCTTGGGTTAGGCATGGACGTCTCTGCATCTCCATGCAGATCGCCTTGCGGAGGATGTCTGTGAGGGTATGGTTATTGGCAACCATGTTGGAGGTGCATACATGTAGCGCCCTTCGCTTCGATTCTATCCCCCTAACTCTGGTATTTAATAATGGGACCCGCTATTCACCACTCACTTTTCGCTAATCACCACTCACCCTCATTTAATCAAGGATCTTCATACTTTATCTCGCGCTGTGATTGGCTAAATGTAAATTGATATAAAGAATTTTGATTAAACGCAAATTTAACGCGAAACTAAATCCTCGTTGAAAAAGTGCGCGTGCTCTATAAGCTCATCCGGTCAAGTCATGGCCAGAGCTTTCCATCTACGTTTGGCCAGAGGATACCTCTGTCTCCGCCTCCTGCACCATTACATTCTAACCACTGTTCCCGAAAGACGAGAAGCATATGCTTTACGATCTCTACGTGAGATTCGACGACAAATCCCCGAGTCTGGTATCGTCAAGTCGATCATCTCCTACAGGTAGACAGAAATGTACGCCACCGTGATATTCCGTCAAAAGTGTGAGCGTCTGTGTCTGAACTTGATGCCAGGCGAACCTCGGATTTAGCTTATCGATGCAATCGTCCATGGCCTCATGAGCTTCGAGATCGATGGATTAGCGCCAATGCTGAGTGCTCGAAAGGGTACAATATCGAGTTCGGCGACGAAGTCTTTGGTGCGTATAATACGATTACTGACAGCATCCTTACGAGCAGTGGAGACAGCATGTACCTGAACGTGACTAATTTCTACAGCGCGTTTGTGGCGACGAGCGGCGGTGTAGATACTGGATATCCGCGGGTGGTAAAGCGAATTGCTGTGACGAACGACTCTTGGCAAGTCGGTATTGGATCCTTGGCTTTGGGACGAATCAGCCCTTTTCCGGGATCAAGAGTCAAACTGTTCGCGATCGGTTGTGATGAGCATTAACGAACTAGTCTTTCAGCTACGTACCAATTTCAAAACAACTTGTTGCTGCTTTGTTGTTGTTTTGCTCGGTTGGTTGTATATAAACAACATTGACTGTGTTTGACTAGGGATTTTCCACGGAGCGTTTCTTGTGTAGGGTACCGGAGATTCCTCGACATCTCCATCAAACGTTGTACAGGCGGCAAGTGTGTCGCCATGCCGACAATACATTGCACTGGAAGTCAGTGACGCGTTTTAACATAATGCGGACAGTCAATGAGCTCGTGTGTTAAATGCGGTAGATGCTGTCACTTTTGGTGCGCATGAACACTGCAAAGGAACAGCTTTGATGTCGCCTTCTTTCTTATTCCCGACTCGCCTAGTGTGCAGAAGAGCCATAATGTAGCCTTCATCAGCAAAAAGCGAATTAAGAGCAGCCGCGCATTTTCTAGACTAGCATAGCTGGTGTTGAAATGTTCATGGTAACGATCCATGCCGGCGACGTGAGCGGTGTTTCGAATGTCGATGGCTGTGCAGCTAAAAAGGAATCGTTGGTACTGAGTAAGAGCGGTATTACTGTTTTTAATTCTTATTAAATTGGCCAATCACAATGTATATTAATTTGGGGCGAGTGGTGGTTAGCGAAAAGTGAGTGGTGAAAAGCGGCTCCCTTAATAATCTCCTTATTAAATCAAATTTGGCGACCCCGGCCATAGTAAAAAAAGGGATACTCTATTGTACTAACAAAGTGAAGGTCGCAGAATTAACACATGGATAATTGGTGCCCAATTTAGCGAGCGAGAAAAGATCCGTTCTGCGCTTATCTTGGGTATCGCTCCACATTCTCGGCGCTCCACAACCGCCAGCAAGTTCATTTTTTGTACCTACCGTACCGAATGGGCGTGACCAAAGAGATCTTGTCGGCAGGCAACGGGCCAAAGCCCACGAAAGGTGCGTCCGTGACGGTGCATTGTACGGGGTACGGCAAGAACCAGGACCTGCAGCAGAAGTTCTGGAGCACGAAAGATCCGGGTCAGACGCCGTTCACGTTCGCGGTCGGACTGCAGCAAGTGATCAAGGGATGGGACGAGGGGGTGCAGGACATGCAGCTGAACGAGAAGGCGCGACTCACGTGCACGCCTGACTACGCGTACGGCGCCGATGGGTTTCCAGCCTGGGGATATCCTTTCCACTACTACTTCTTCTTCTACTTCGTCTTCTTCTTCTTCTATTTTCGATATACATTTGATGACTTGCATAGGTGTACTGAAAGCTTTTGGTGTCGATGCGTGAAGATTCCTTAACTGTGTTTCGAAAGTGTACGATTCAGCCCAACTCGACGCTCGTTTTCGAGATTGAAGTGCTGGAGATCAAGTAGTCGACGATGACGCGCCTCCTTCGACGACGCAAGAGTGGAACAATGAGCAGAAGCGTGCTTGGAGTAGCGTAAGAGACACGCACCGCACCTCTGTTGTTTTCACTCTTACGGACATGTGCAATCGGCATAACGCGTGATTCCCCGTAGCGATTGTCGAAATAATTGCCAACAATCTCTTGCCAAATGCGTTTGTTGTGTCGATAGTACCTTTGCCTTGTTCTGCTGTGTCGTGTCATCTCCTGGGTGAGGGTCAGTCGCAAATTTGCGATCAGTTACAATCTGATGGATGTGTCGGTGTTGCTGCGAAGCGATGAGTACCGTATAATCAACGCGTGTTCACAGGACTCGTATGCCGCTTCCTACGATGTCGTACAGTAGCAAGAGCGTGCAGCGGAGTGGCATCATGTCCACGTCCTGCTGCTTGCGCTCGTGCGGTAGACTTCTCTTCCTACAGCTGTAGATCAAACACAAGCTGCCATGCCGACCACCATCGAGTTCATGCTTGCAACGAACACAGTCATTCCTTCATGACCAGACCAGCCAACAAACGATTTGCCGAAATAAAACGATCGCATCCTATGACCAGGATGCAACAATCTCAGTCTTTCTCGATTGCAACCTGCTTTGCCGCAATGATTGCTCCAAAGCGATTACCACAAGCAAATGCTCAGCCTGAGACACTGAACGTCAAGCTCTGAAGGCGTCTTTGCCATTGCCACTACCGGCTCTTCCACCACCTACTTTCGATCCCTTCCATCAAGCGTTGTCTTTTCGTTCGTGTTACCGGTTTGGGATGACATGTCTTGCTAACGGAAACGACAAACAACATAAACTCGAGTCCAACAAGAAACGCGTTCGTCTTGCACATTGCCGCGCATGCAGCGGTCAATCGTCTGATCACTTCTGGTAAGACTCTGACCCTGTTTGTGCGCGCAGACTTACACTTCGATGCAAAGTTCTTGCTCCACTCGTTTGATCTGCACATAGTTCAAAATTGGTATCGAAGCAAACACATGCGGTATGATGAAGATTGCCGCACCTTATCGTCCCAAGCCATGACCTTTGCTTGCAGCTCGCGCTCTTCTTGAGCCCACTGTTCCTGCAATAGAAGCTCTTGGCGACGAAGCTCCACTGCAATGCCTCTGTGCTGGTCGTCGTCGTGCGTGTTGGCTGTGCTAAGCTCTCGAACGTGTTGTGTTCCGTACTGTCAAAGCAAGAGAGAGGTTAGCTGCTATATCAGACGACCCTGACGACATGTTCGCCCATTCAAACCTTGATCCCTTCTGCCAAGACACGGCGCAAGTTCTCAGCTTGACGAAGCTCTGACGTCCGTTCGTGCTTTTGCTTGAGCAATGAGGCCTTCTGTCGACGAAGACTTGCCTGCTTTTTGGCAATGCTCTTGTTTACGCGTTGGCGTTCTTGAATTTGGGCTTGCAGATCTTCGTTTTGCTTTTCCGCCTTTTTCACCGATGCACTTAAGCTTTGGCGCTTCATCTCTCGCACGTCAAGATCTTTCGCTAACGCGGATATTTTACCGTCCAGCGCTACAGCAGCATCCTTTGCCCCTAAGATTTGTGCATCAATGCTCTCCAGAGTTGCGTTAACCTGCACAACACTTCAGTCTCATTTTTGCTACACATTCGTAAACACGAGGTTTAAACTGACTTGAGTTTGGTCTTCTTCCAGCATCTTAAGCAGATTCTGCGCATTTAGTAGCACTAGTAGTGAGTCGATGAATTGCAATCAGGATATGTGCAAGTACGTACTTGTTTCTCATGCAGTTTTCTCTGAGCAGCCTCAACTGCCCTTTGCTTCGCAGCCAGCTTTTCCTGAAGGCACTTTGTGTCCAGTTCGGCTTTGACACTGGTAGCGGTAGCAAGTGCTGTCGATAGCTCAGCAATGACGCTCTGTCCACGACAAGATCTCAGTCGGTGTTCAAGGTCGAACTACAATGGGAACCGCTACCTCTTCAGCAGCCAACTGTTGATCACGAGCGCTTAGCCTAGACAAGAGCGCCACATTAGTGGATCACACGAAGCACGGAAAGGAACACAGGTTCGAAGTACCTTGTTTCCAGCTCTTCACGCTTGGCACCAACAGCGCCAATGTGTGACAGCATGTCTTCGTTCGTCATCTGACACTTTTCGAGCTCTGTTTATCCAGCATGACACGTCAACAGTAGCAATCAAGACAAACTGGACAATCGACGAGTCCACCTGAAGTGATGAAGGAGATTCTGCGCTTTAACGAGCTTATCTCGTTCTTGACTTTTGCTCGATATTTCCGGCGCTTTGTCTTCAGCTTGCCCGTGATCTTATCTGTAATCATGCAAGCACAAGCCGTGCCATGACACAAGTGCTTCGGAAACAAAAGGTACGCGAAACCAACGTTACCAGTCTCTTGGATGACACAACGAGTGTTTTTACGTAGACGCTCCATCAACGCTTCAGCTTCGTTTTCCTTGACAACGATGCGCTCGCGCAGATTGTGAGCCTCAAGCCCACGTGCCGACAATTCGGCTTCGATCTGTGTCCGCTTTTCAACAAGCGCACTGGTCTCGTACTGCATTTGCGTGGTAACCTGTTGAGTCTGTTTGAGCTCGACGCATATCTTCTGGCGAGCAGCGCGTTGCGATATCGGCTCGGACCACTCGTTTATGGCGGTAGTGACTGTACTCAGTAGCGGGTGCAAAACAAACAACAATAGTCTCGCGTACTCAGTCGTTCCCCGCCACACGCAAACATGTAATGGAAAGAGACCGTACCGCTACGGGTCTCTCTCTCCACCGAATCGTCCATTGACGAAAGCGCTTCCAACCGAGTTGTTGCGTTCAGAAGCTGACATCTCAAGCTGAGCATCGCCGCGCGCTGGTGCTGAAATCGATCGCGAAGTCCGTGCACGTCACGCTCCTGTTGGGCCACAGCATCTGCACCACAGCGAGAGAAGCAACAACTGATTCTCACAAAGAGAGGGGGACAACAAAAGAGAGAGGGAGAGGGAAAACGAGAGAGTACCTCGAAATCGTCGATGCTTTTCCTGTGCACCTGCTCAGCAGACAAGGGCACCATCAGTTGGCCACGTCCTCCACGTCGATAGAGCGCTTTCGATCACGCACCGATTCGCTTTTCCTCGAGTTTCCCGAGCTCCTTGGCGTCGTCTTCCAAGTCGTGTATCAACGTCTTATACCGTCTGTACTCTTGCGTGATCAACTCCTATGGCGACCGCAACAGGTCATACACCAAACGTCAGCAGTCAATCGATCGACGCAGTAGTTTTTTGCGCGTCGACAACGCACTTTGACGTTTTTGATGCGAGCGTTTGTACCCGTCACGCTGTGCTCTTTGGACTTGATGGTCTCCAGGAGTTCCATCTCGACCCGCATCATCTCCACTGCCGCCATGCAACGACAAGCGCCGCGTCAGACGAACCGTAGGCGATGAACGAACGAGCGAGCGAGCGACCGAGAGACGCACCAATGTACTTGCGCAGCTCGCCAATGTCGTCCGGAGCACATGTCGACTGGACGCGCGCGTCGTCTGGACCGCGTTTCGCCATGTTCGCTCGCTCGGTTGACTTTGGCGCGTGAGAATGCGGAATAGCGAACAAGTGCAATGTTCGAAAGGAAACCCGTGGACCATCACTCTGCAAGCTCAAGTTGAAGTTGCACGCATTGCGCGCGTCAATTGGAACGAGATTGTAGACACGACCACACTACTCGTAGACGAGGCACTGCCTAACATGCACTCGCGGCACTTGGCTCTTCTGATTGCCGTAGTAACTCAGTGTATAAAAGTAGCGCTTAAGTCGCTACAAGTCTGGTAGTTGTCATCCGCGTCCTACCCACATGATGTACCATGTTCACACTCCTGCTCGTTCTTGTTGACGCGAGACAAGAAGCGCGTGGGTCAGCGACACGTACACCACGTGATTGACAGCCACGCCATCGTCTGCCTCTCGATCCTCCTGCTTGCCGTCGTCGCTTTTGCCCTCGCCACTCGATCGCACACTCGCGAAGAGACACTGCTTCTTCACCATCTTGGCCACGCGGCAGAAGCTCACGACATCCACGCGCGCAAAATCCTCTTCATACCCTTTGACCACGACCATAGCCTCTGCATGAGCGTACTTAGGATCGCCTACTCAGCTCAGCCATAGCGTCAGCACAATACCCTTTTCCTCCACACAAGAAACAAAGTGACACTTGACCTTTGTAGATGAGGAAATCAGCGCCGAATTTCGAGCCAAACGTCACGACGTATCCGCGTTCCCAGAGGTCCCGAAACACTCGCACGCGGTCGCGGCGTCGAGGCGCTACAGCATTCACACACACACACACACACACACACACACAAACCGCAACAAGTCAAGACCTGTCGTGCGAGCCACACGACCGATACAGGAAAAGCTGGTGCAGATTCGCAGCGCCGTACATAGTCTCCACTGGACGTCACAAGGCGTTCTACCCGAGCAATCTCCTGTAAGCTCTTGAACGATCTCTACCAGACTCGTATGCTGACTTTCCTTATCATTAGTAGACATTGGACTGTCGGTAGTAGCAGTACCATCACAAGTAGTAGTAGTACCGCAAGTGGTAGTAGTAGTATCACAAGTAGTAGTGCTACTGTTACTAGTAGTACAAGTACTACTTTGACGAGTGTAATCACTTGCAGAGGTGATCGCTACTTCTAGACGGAGAAACCCTTGTGTGAGTCCTACGGCCATCTCTTCGAGGCCTAAGCGCAGTCGTGTCGGCGGTGTGCACGCAGCCGCCGCACTCGATCCTTCAGCAGATCCGTAGATGCGACACTCTTGCTGCAAGCGAGCAATGTGCTGTCGGTCTTCGACGAGCGCATACGTCGCGTCTGCTTCGGACGACGTGATTACCGTCGCGACAACGGCTGTCGTCAGGCTCATGGTGTGCACGTGTTGGGTACATTGTGAACCCGAAAACTAAAAAGACCAAACTGTTACTTCGTAAAACCTATCCAGTAGCATATCCCTACATGCTGACGTCTTCTTTTTCGACATTTCTGAAAAGTAGGGCAAAAACGGCTTCGAAAACGTCGACAATTGAGACGCACGTGACGATAAACAAAGACGCCCACGTCCGCAATAGCACCGACAACGTTACAATGAGTCCCAGTTCTTCTGACAAAGACCGGTCTGCTCCTGCTGCTGTCTACAACGCTGCGTCTCTTCTTGCAGCGTACGAGACGTGGGTGGGCAGCCACACGGGCTTAGCGCGCAATGTCGAGACGGCACTGTATGTAGTACCGCAATTGGTGCCGGTGCGTCGATGGATGTGTGGATCTTCATTATTTACAAAAAGCGGATAAAGTATCGATTTTGTGTATGACGGATTTGTTCCGAATGGTTTTTGTTGTTTCGATTGTGGAAATGGGATAGAAACGTGCGATGGAACCGGAAGTCGCAGCACAAGTTGGGTACTCGTTCGTTGGACTGCTGCATTTGTATCATGATTACGTGCTGTGGAAAAAAGAACACACGCACGAAGCAGAGCAGCCGCTGGCCCGTCAAAAGTGCGTTGCAATGACTCGGACGTGGCTGAAGTGAAGCTAAAAAGCTGAATGTCATGACCCTCTTCGTCCGAAACATGTTGCTCTGATGCTGGCAGGTTGACACGCTTGATTCGTATACCGCTGTCGGTGATCGCTCACGTACAAGTGTCGGCAGAAGTCGTGGCTCGGAAGCTTGGCAGCGACGTTGGCAAGTGGCGTCTCATTGTGTGGGTGGAAGCTGTCAAGGGTGTGCTTCTTCTCATACTTCTTGCTCAGCGACGTCGTGCTATGCTCATACGCGGAGGCAAGGTGCGTCAACATCTGGCGGTAGTGCAGTGGACAACAAAACGGTCTCACTCTTTTGCGACATGTTTTTTATGTGAACAGTACAAGGGTGTGGAGTCAGTGCCTCCGTTGTCTCCGTTTGCCCGGTTCAGGAAAGCCAAGAAGCCTGGTGCTCGAACGGGCAAGACGTTTGGAAGAGGTTGGCTTTTGTCGTGGCAAGAAAATGCGGTGTTTGCTCTAACGGCTTCTTGCTGTCATGATTCGATAAAGCAGCTGCGGCGTCAGAACCTAGTGCATTGACGGAAAAGCGCATCGATGAACCTCCCAACACGATCACGTTCGAAGTGAGTCAGCTCGAACTGGCAGTGGGACAAGGTGTGACTATGTTTGACATTTTATGTGCGTCTGTTTTTGCATGACGAACTAGGACGCTACAACTGAGCTCGCAGAAGGATCTCGTGAGGATCTTCTTATGGCTGGAGAGGTCTGCCACATATTGCGGCCCGTGGTGTATGCCTTGCTGCGTCGCCGCCGACCTCAGTCTTCATGGACTCCCATTGTCGTGTCGCTTCTCGTAGAGCTTTCCGGGTATGTTTTTCTCTGCGATGTACGTTGCTGTTTCCACGTGACTAAACGCGCGCTTTTTGTCACACAGTCTGGCGCTGTCTACTGCAGCTGTCAAATCCATGGAACGTAAGAAGCCTACCTGTTCGGACAAGGCTAAGGATGAAGTGGCAGCTCGAAAGGTGGGAGTTGCTCTGCACATTTACGACAACGGCACCCGAGATTTTCTTCTTACAGGCGACACCGCTACGCTGCGTATATGCTGCAGATGGCTCTTCTTTTCTATTTGCTTCGCGACCCAGTATTTGCCACTGTCACGAAGCCCGCAGTCGGAAAGGTACATCATTTTGCTATGCCTTGTTTACTACACAACGCGCACTCAAGCTCTGGTGCCGTTCATGTTCTCCTACAGGTAGCGGAAGTCATGGACTGCGTGCCAGGCATAGGCAAATTGTTCCGCTTCGGGACGTCTGCTGTGCTGGACTACTACCACCAGTTTCACTTTTACACGTCAGCGTCGTAGATTTCGACATCTGGGCAACTCGCCATTGCGATACGCTTGACATATGGAGGCTTCGCTCTATATAGCCGTCGCTCTCATCCATCGAACGGCAAATGAAGACGAAATGCCAGCGTCATCTCAGATGTCGACAGCTTTGATCAGAACAATCGCGGTGCAGGTTCTGTTGTCCACTGTATGCAGGAAAGACTGGCGTCGGCCACTCCACAACGCGCGAATGGCCCAGCTTACGTACGTTTGCACGAATAAATCACATGTCCGAGCATTTGGCTTGATGAGTACTGTGCTAGGGCAAGTCACTTCAGTTGCAATCAGGTGATCTCAATCGTGTCATGGCTTGCACCACTTGCCGATGAGTGCATCGGTATCATCATGACGCTACGCAGTCAAAACAGCAAGGCACATGCACAGGGTATCGCACTTCACGCATTTCTTTATTCTGTCATTTCAATGACCATCACCTCGCCTGGGTACTTGGGCGTAGAAGAGGAGATATGCAGAACACAGCGTCTCCTGTCGTAGCTGTGCTTCATCGATCGCAGAAACTACTTCATCATCAATCCGAAACCATTGCTCGGATCGTACAGCGTCTTGTCGTACATGTTCGTGGCGCACGTATGCAACGTAATGGCCGGAGTCAATGGAGCTGCCAACGTGAGCACACACTGCTGTCAACTCAAATATAACTCGGCTTTCGTCCTCTCGAATAAAGGCGTTCATTGTAATGTCCAGAAGCTCATCCTTTCCGCATGGAAAGCTCACCGGCGTATCCACTTTTTCGGTTTGTCTTTTCAAAGACGTGTGTTTGAACCGTTGCAGCTGGAATACCAACACTGGCGGCACACGCTGCAGAAGGATCTGCGTGAGACGCGTGGTCTTCGCACGGCAGTAGCCATCGCAGTATACACGATTCTCTCCAGTAAGCTGCTCCGGATGACGAAAGCGCTCTAGACACCCGGCAAGCGTTTGGTCTTCTTTTCCTACACCAATTGCAAGCGAGAAGATCCTACGTCCAACCGCCTCGTGAGTCAATCGTGACCGTCATTCACCATAGGCAGCGCTGAAAAAGTACTCACCGTTGTTCTTCGTGAAGACACGTGAGGTTCGCACAGCTACAGCACTGAGAACCTCGCACAGTCTGCGCGGAAAACAGTTCGGTAATCACTGACGCGTTCTGGCGCAGAAAGTAGTTCCATCTCACGTCGCCAATGTTTGCTGCACGGACGTCAAGAAAGCACGCAATCACACATACAGTCAGTTCCACCGCCACAGCACTCTTCACCATCCCGTTCGCTCAACGTACCCACTGCTTGGGTATACGACCGTGGATCGTTTGGATCGTAGCTCTTCAACTGCTGCAAAAACCAGTCTTCCGACTGCAAAAAGCGTTGCTGCTCTTCTTCCTGTCGATTCGGCTGCGCCGGCACGCGCAGCAAATCATGCAGCAACTCCAGCAAAAACGACAGAAACTCCTCGGCATCTTGTTGTTGCTGTCTCGAAGCTGCACTGGACATCAAGTACGTGCATCGACTTGCTGCCAAGCGAAAGGTCCGCAGCTGTTGCTGCGTGTCGTCTCGATTCACGCGGCTCGGTCGATCTTCCTCAACTTCTGCTTCACGTTCCACGTCCGAGTCGGCGTCCTGGCCAATGCTTTGCAGCAAACCCACAAGTGTCGCTGCAACGGCCACCTTTTTCTCGTGGTTATCGTCCCCTAATGGACTGGAATAGAGCTGATTGCGCGTCCGCAGCGCGCGGTCCACGCTCTCGACAAACCCGGGGACAGTCGCCAGGCACTGCAGCACAGCATTCACAAAGCAAAAGTTGCCAATGTTCACGAGTCCACACGGGCCATCCAAAGCCTCGAGACGTATCGGACATGCGTCAGCACCACCAGAGGATACCGTATAGGGGTCGCGAGCTCCACTCATTGCCTCGTTTTCCACACCAGTGTAGCCATTGCGTCGAAGACGAGCAACAAGCGGTGTCCAGACCCATAGTGTGAGCCAGTACATCAGATGCCGCTTCGTCTTGAGCCAGTACGTGAGCACGAGCGACGTGAGCCACGACCAATAGAGACGTCTCGAGCGCTCGGCCATGACGAGACTGGACCGGGCGAGGCGGTCGATACACTGCTTGGTGTGGTACACGTAAAGATGAAGGCGCTAAGCGTTCACGTGGACCACATCCATTGCTGTACATACGCGTGGACCACATCCATTGCTGTACATACGCGTGGGCCACATCCATTGATCCATTGCTGTACATACGCGTGGGCCACATCCATTGCTGTACATGCGCGTGGACCACGTTGATTGCGGAACCGCTCACACAAATGTGGGTAGACCACATACAACATGTTGGCTCGCACGTGCGTGGTGCGCGCGTGTCGAGATCCGCCGGCGACGGATGTACTGCGCCGCTGTTTGGCTGGCAGACCGTCGGTGCAGTACGTGATAGACAGCACACTTGCTCGTAGTTGTCACTCGTAAGGACGACAGTGGGTAGCGAAGGACGAGCTGTAGGATTGACGAACGGAGTGTATTCGGTTTGACTCATGATAGAAAGCTCGCGGACAAGACGAGAAAAGTGCATGAAGTGCCCATTGTGCAGCGTTGCGGGGGCGACGTGATGCGGTACATGGGAACCGGCAGTCGTTTTCAGATGTACTGCTCGTTGATGCTGGCTGGAAGTCTGGTCTATCAAGCTGATGCCAGTGCTCATATGATGGAGGTAGCTCCTGTTACAGTGGCCTCGTGCCTTGATCCGTGCGATCACAACAACAGTAGTGGTGACCGTTGTGTGGTGACGACGTGCTGACAAGAATGACCTGGTGCGCTGGTGCTACGATGCGTAGGTGCTTGCTACAAGTGGAGCCATCGCGAGTGCGTCCGTGGGTGTGTTTTTCGGGGCCAAGCAGCTGTGTGACAGGGTCGTTACCGACATTGTGTCGTGTCGGAGAGTAGGAGACCCCCATGAATTTGTGCGAGTGTCGGTTCTGGGTGTTGGAGTGAAAGAGGTGCTCGAGGTCTCGCCCAATGGTACGCTGTTGGCGCTGAACATCTGCTGGTTGTCGTTGTTGCTGTGTGTGTGCGTGGGGAGCTCACGATGCATTGCTGCCTTGTGGTAGATGTAAAGTTGTTAGGACACGATGGTAAAGACGTCTACAGTTTTGCCTTAGGCGGCCGACGACTGCAATTGGATACGTCAACAGGCGAGTGCTTGAATCGAAAGGCGCTGGATATTCTGATGCAAGGCAAGCCGCTCGTCTCGAGAAAGAGAAAACAAAGTAAGCAGAGATCGCACATATAGAGAAGGCAGAGCTTTCTGTCGACCGACCGCGAAGACACGATATGTATCAATCAACCTATGCACTGGTTTTGCCGTTCGCTTCACTACTTGGAGAACTGCTCGAGCTCCGCGTGGCCATGGTTGACCCGTTGTTGTCGGGCTCTTTCGTCTTTTCCACCCCACTGGGCAGCGCGTGACGGTCGGTCGTCGAATCAGCTTTGGATCCAACTGGATTCGAGTTCAGTCCACGCGACGAATGCACGTGATCGATCGACAAGTCTCAATTTGCAGCACGCCTTGTCTTGTCAATAGTGCGTATGCTGGGACACAAGCGTTGCCAACGCGATCGCGTTCGCATCAGCCGCAACACAAATCGACCACGTTGGTGCATCTCGGTGGGTCAACGAGCTGTCGAGATCTCAGACAATCAGTCGGCATTTGTAGTGCTGTCGTACGCAAACAACCCCACAACAACTACGCATGATTCTTTCCCAATACTGCAAACCACACCACTGGTTCCCAAATCTTTATGCAAATCATAATCATTGCCCACGGACGTAGCACCGACACGCAGTCGTTCGCACCACACGACAACGTTTGAGCTACTGGATCATCGATCGCATGCTTGAGGCGCGAACGAAAGAAAACGAAAGCGATTGCGAAGCACACTGCAGGTCCCTCGCTCACTCGTCACTACTTCTACTGCTGCTTCGATTTGCAGTCTTATAGTGCTCTCTCGTCCAAACTAGTCAGGCAAAAGCACTTGACCGCCGCGATCCCAAGTCGACAAACCACTCATACAAACAGTGTCTCTCCCCGCCTTCCCGGACGTAGCAACGATCTGGCTCCATCTCACTAGCCAGTTCAACCGCTCCGCCAAAATTTTGACGCTCACTTTCTTCTCCTCGGACAATCAAGCGGTCCATCAAAAATGCACTGCAACCTCGACCTCTCTCGTTTTTTCTTCTCGCGGTGCCACTTTTTTTGTCGTTGCCGCCCGCCCGTGCGGTGTTGATGCTGAGTGAATAGTGGCGCACAGTTGGGACGGCTCTGGCCCGTTGCCAATCACCACTCGACGCTGGAAACCCGGATCCTAGCGCCATTGCTCGCAGCTGAGGGCAGCTGATTCTTCCTCGCGGATACGCAGTCCATCGGCCTCGCACGGCAGCTCAAAATTTGGCGCCTTATCCGCTAAGAATTGCTCTGTACGAATCATCGACCCGACGTTTCAGACAGTCTTTACTGCGTGTGTCATTACTACGACGGCTACGGCTACAACTGCTGCTGCTGCTGCTGTTGTTATAGTTGTAGTTGTAGTTGGCGGTAGTTGCAGCAAGGCGGTTCCTGCAAATGAGGCCATCACCTGTTGGCGTCAGACAGACGAACGGACGGACTGACTCCCTCGCTGCAACCATGCGACGCACTTGTTCCGTGCAACGGTCGCCACGAGCGGCGACACGCTCCATGTGTTGCGTAGCGCTACAAAAAAAGTAGTCCAACGCTACGCATGTTGTACGTGCCACATGCTCCGCTGTGATACGAATGCTAACAATGTTGATGGGCATCGCACCTCGGAATCCCCTTTCGTCGGCAGCCTACATGCCCTTGCCAAGAACGAACGACCGCCGCACAACAGTCAATGGGCTGGCGCAGTGCCATGCAATAGAGAGTGTGGACGCTCACGCAACGACGTTATCGTCTTTACATGGACCGGTGGTTTAATAGACTCCATGTCAATGTCAATGGCGAGTTTCGGTACATTCACAAATACGTATATGTAAATGTTGAGACGCACCCGCAATACTTTGCGAACTAGTAAGAACTCTTTTGTCTCTCCATCTCTCTCCACATGTCGGTGTGTCCATGTGTGTGTCTATGCGTAAGTGTGTTCACCGTTATACACGCACGCGAGCCAATGGTTCACTTGTCTCTCGCGCCATGTGCGACGATGTCCTCTATATACACTCTAGTCAGCCATGTCTTGAAATATTCCTATAGCTTCAATTTTTCAAGCTCGAAATTTTTGATGGGCGCACCCCGTCACTGCAACAGCTCATTTACCAACGTGCCGTGTACTGTGCAAGTCGAAACCGCAGATAGTACCGACGCCCTCGAGAAGAAGAAAAACAACCCGTCGCTCTTGCGTCAGAATACTATCACAACAACCACAACCACAACCACAACTACTACTACTCCAATCTTCCGAATAGTACTGCCACAACAACGACAACAACTAGTACTACTCCAGCTACTACTACTACTACTACTACTACTACTACCACAATGCTCTTGGTCAACGACCGCCAGCCGTCGGGTCTCTTGACATCGACCAGTGCCACCAGTCGCAAGCGCAAAGTCGTTCTGCCCGACGACTGCCGAGACAAGCGCGCGCGTCGCTCGTGGACGGAGCTCGAGTACGAGATGGTGCTGGAAGAGGCCACGCTGCTGCGCGAGGAGCTCGACCTGCTGCTCCATGTAGCCGCCGACCTCTGTCGAGACCTCGGGCGGGTCGACACGCCGGTGGGCAGTTTCAGCGCGACGTTGGACCACATTGGCGCGTCGCTGGCGTCGTCCCAGGCGCTGACGGTGCCGCAGATCCGCAGCATGTGCCAGCAAATGCTCGCGATGATGCAGTACCTCTGCCGCGCGCACGGCCGCCACTTTGCCCTCGTGGACATGCAGGACCAATTGTGCGCGTGTCGCAACCGGTTCACGCTCTTTGTGTGCAACAATGCCGCGCTGATTGGGCTATAAGCAGCAGCAGCCGTCGCAGCAGCAGCCGTCGACGAGAGCGAGGTTGGGACCGTAGACGTGCAGCAGGTGGAAGAAGAAGGAGCTGGGGCGACGACGAATAATAATAGTCATTAACTTATTTTGTACCATACACAAGTGGTAGTAGTACTACTACGAGACCGGTCTGGTCACGCACGTGCTTGCTTTGCACCAGCTTGTACTATTTTCTGCACGCTTCAATTGCCGCCATACTACGATTGCTGCGATACTACTGTTGTTGCTGCAATACTACTGTTGTTGCTGCGATACTTCTGTTGTTGCTGCAATACTACTATTGTTGCAACGACTAGTACTATTGTCGCAACGACTAGTACTATTGTTGCTATCACGGCAGAATAGGCAGATGCAGGAGCTCCTGGCCGTGTCATGTGGACGTGGCACTACGCCGTGCGACACGGCATTACTGCGCCTGTTCGACACCTACGAGTGGTGACAAAGCACGGAGCGCGAGGCACAAGAGGCCAGTTGACCGTGTTCGCCCATCGCCCCACCCGCCTTCATCCCGTGGCCTTGGACCTGATCGCCACTGGCTCCTGCTACTTCTGGGCACGAAGGGCGTGTCGGGCCTTGACTTCCAGTGCAAAGTGGACGATCGCCTTGAGGTGGCCATCGAGCGGTGCCCTCGAGTCTTCTTCGAACCACGCCTCGAACGTGTGCTTCTACTCGTATTCACGTACAACAACAGCATCGTCACCATGGCCACCACCGCCATACAAAAGACAGTCAAGAACAAGCCCAGCGTTTGTCGACAACGCGACCACCACCAATCAACTGTGACGCACTACTACGTACGACACCAAAACGTACACTTGTTTTCATCGCGTCCAAACTCGTCTGCACGCCACGCAATTTGTCGTCCACTTCGTCGGCGAATTGCGTAAACGCCTTGTGCGCGAGTATTGCGTCATCACCAGCTGCGTCATTACTTGCTCGAGCCACAGATTTCACCAACAGATGGCCCTCGCGAAGTTGATTCATCTCGGACAGGAGGCTGTCGACAGACACGCTCTTGCACTGTAACACGAGGTGAATCTCGTCGTAGAAAGTCGACAGATTGCCATCGTCTTCCATCTGTTTGCCACACACACACACAGACGCATACGCACGCGAAACCGTATGTCAAGTAAACATTGTTCACCTCGTAAAAGCAGAGCCTCTGCAGTCTTCGTACCTCAAGGACATGCAAGAACCCGTCCAGCATCGTGTTTGTATTGTCAAACGACTTGGTGTTTGTCATGGTCACAAGCGACCTCAGCGAAAACCTCGCTCTGTAGTTCGTGACAAACTCTTCGTTGGCGAGATTGCCAAAGTCGCGCAGCAGGTGCATCACTCGGGTAAACTTCGAGCTCGAACAGAGCTGGTTCAGCGCTCGGGTCACTAGGCCTGCGGCTTGTCTGCGCAACCGCAACAAACAAACACGCACACACACACACACGTGTGTCAGCTTGTCTTCTTGCACCACACCCCTCTAGACACCACATGCACTGCTCATTCTCGCAAGCAACTCCAAGTCCGTACTTGAGGTTTTCAGCTCGCGAGGGCAACTCCAGCTTCAAGAGCAGACATTTGAGCTTCTCCTTGGCCATTGGAACACTACGGATCATCACGAGAAATTGCTCGCTCTGTAGGACGAAGAAGACGAAGAAGAAGAAGGACAAACAGCACTGTCAATCACAGTCAGTCATTCACAGTGTCGCTCGTTACCACACACGTACGCGCTTGAGAGCATCAAAGTCTTCCGAGTACTCTTCAAGCGCGATTTCCTCAGCCATGCTTGGCCACATTGCTAGGATCGTCTTGATGTCCGTGTCTTGTAAGTACATAGCCGTCAGGATATTGACGTCTCTCGCCACTTTCTCGAACGAACGCGTGACGCGCTTGACAGCAAACTCGAGGTTCACTGCTTTGTTCCCTTTCAAGATCTGCACCTTGTCGGGTTTAGCAGAGCGAGCACGATGGATCGTCGGAGCTGTCGTTGCACTGGTCTGCAGCTGGACGCGTTCCGAGCTTTCGATCAGGTTGGTGATCTCTTTCACATACAGCTCTTGGATGTAGGCCTGCGAGCAAGCAGAGAGTCGCTGATGTGCTCCCTTCTCATTCACTTGTGTCCACAACGATCCTTTCGACGGCGGTGCAGTTCGATCGACCTCTGCAACTTCCGTCCAATGCCATCGACGACGTTTGGTCTTTTTCGTCACACGAGAATCACGGACCACTGGTGCAGTGACTTGCTCGGTACCAAACATCCCTTTCACATCAAGTGCCGTAGGGATGACGCCATCGATCCGCATTTGCTCCTCAACCGTTCCTCGAGGCACTCCGACTTTGAGCATTTTGCGATAGCGTGCAAAAGAGTCCTTCGTAGCTACTGTAGTATCCGTCTTGTCATCCTCTAGGCTGTCGTCAATCTCGGTAGGTGCTGCTGCCTGTACGACGTCGATCTGACCAAAAACACTGAGCTCCAACACCGACAGCTGCAGTGACGCGCAAACGTACCTGCTTCTCCACCTTATCTTCTGTCCATGCTCCTGTTGGCTTCAACGAGTCCCCCTTTTTTTCAATAAGCATTCGACCTGTTAGACCGATGACCCACGAAAGCAAACAGCAATGATGCAGATGGATGAGACGTACCCCGATCAGGCGCAAGATGCCAGCCCGGCTTTCGGTCACCTCCACGGCCGCAAAGCGAATTTGAGCCAGAAACATACTACGTGAGTACGGTCGAAGCTCGTTGTTGTGAGGGACAAAAAAGGCAAATGAGCTCCTCGCGGTTTGCTCCGTCAAACAGCCTTTCTCGCCTGGACGATCTGCATCATAACGACACGTTGAGATTCAGACAGCTTCACGCGTACGTGACGGCACGTGCTCTGGAACTCGTCAATCAACACGTTGATGGCATCCACGTAAACTGTCATCGTTGGTTCATCAATTCTTTGTTTTAGCGGCATCACGTGCGCGCTTTATAGTGGTGTGTGTCCTCGATCATAGATTCAGACGCATGTCATCATCAACACGACCGGCTTTCACCCGTTCTTTGCTGCTTTGTACTTTCTCGGTGAGCAGAATGACTCAGCTACGAGTAGTATTGGCGCTGCACATCTTCAAGCACACCCCGACATGGTACAATGGCACGCAGTTTGATGCACATGAGGAACGCGCCCGCAAGTTTACGATGCAGGGAGTATACTTCTTGCGGTGGAGGTGTCAAGCGGCCGTGCATGAACACTTCAGTGTGCTGGCTCAGTCGAGACGTCAGCTTGCTCTTCTCGAAATCGAACGGCTCGTGCGACCGGAAAGGCTCGCCCACTGCCATGCCTGCTGCAACATGGGCACGCATCATCGCAGGCGACTCGTCGCCAGTGAGAAACCGCATCTTGACTGAGTAGTCCACCAGCGTCTTCTCGTCTCCGTTCGCTGCGGCCCACACAATGTTGAAGTAGTCGTCCACGAATGACTTTGGATACTCGCGAGCAGCACCAAAGTCCACAAGTCCGATCGTGTCAGTGGATGCGTTGTACATGAAGTTGCTCCAGTTCGGGTCCGTCTGCATGAATCGCCAGTTGAACAGCTCGTGGATCGTAAGCTCAAGGAGACGACGGCCAATGCTGTTGCGCACATCCTGCGACAGATGCACAGCCTTGTCCACCGCGACGCCCGAGATCAGTTGCGTCGTCAAGATACGCGCCGTCGACACTTCCCGGTACACGCGCGGCACAATAAACTGTCCGTCCATGCCGCTCTGATGAATCAGCTCCTTGAATCGTTCCTGGTTCGTTGCTTCTTGAATGTAGTCGCACTCGGCCGTGAGCTCTTCTTCACCGACACGGATGATCTCGTCAATGTACAGGCCACGTGGCAATATATTCGTGTACGTCACCAACCGCTTCAGGTTCAAGAGATCACTGCCAATCGACTGCGCGACACCTGGGTACTGGATCTTGATTGCTACGCGGTCACCGTTCAACAGCGTCGCTCGGTGCACCTGCAACAACAGACGCGTCGTCAACACCACAACGACACCACGCACACATGAGTCAAGTCCGTCCCGACCAAATGTATCCATCAGCTCAACAAGTACCTGTCCAATCGACGCCGCAGCAATCGGCACGTCGTCAAACTCTTGGAACTTACTCCGCCAGTCTTCTCCTAGCTCCTCTTCAAGCTGACGATGCAGCTGATCCTTGGGCATCACATGAGCACTGTAAAGTAGCAGCAACAGCAACCGCACGCATGGACACGCGTACACATCAGTCTCTCTCTAGCGTCTGAAATAACAACAAGCCACACGCACGTACTTTTCCCGCACACGATTCAGCGCTGCGGCCAACGTGGATGGAATCATAGCCTCGTCTTGGATGCTCAGCATCTGTCCGAGCTTCAAGGCCGCGCCGCGCATCGTGCACAGCGTCTCGGCCAGTTTCTCGGCATTGGCGTCCGACACGAGCGCATTGTACGTGCCGTTCTTGCCGCCCGTGCGCACGATCTCGGCCGCTGTGCCCATGGCGAGTCGCGCGGCGAGGCCTCCAAAGCCCAAGATACGAGACAGAGGCGACGACGGCACGTGCTTTTCTTCCCACACGCGACGAGGCGGTAGCTCCTCTGGTGTTGCGGCCGCATCCTTGTCAAGCGTCGTGGCCGTACGATGTGTCTGATTCTTCACCTGATTCGCCTGATTCTTCTCCTGACTCGTCTGACTCTTCACCTGACTCGTCTGATTCTTCACCTGACTCGTCTGATTCTTCACCTGACTCGTCTGATTCTTCACCTGATCCGTCTGATTCTTGGTCTGATTCTTTAATGGATGCTTGGTTTGACTCACCTGAGTTGCCTGAGTCGCCTGAGTCGCCTGACTCGTCTGATTCGTTTCGGGTGCATGAATCAGATCGGGTGGTGGTCTTTCGGACGTGTGCTGGAGTTTCGGAAGCGATGGCGTTACTTTTGTTTGCGCCACTGTGGACTTTGGCGGCACGTTTCGTTGCGCGTGGTGTGTGTGGACCACGTCCGGCAGTGCAGACACTGAAGTACCACTAGCAGTAGACGGACCGCCGCTGGGCGGCGCAGTGGCAGTCGCCTGGAAAAAGTGCGGCATGACGCGCGTGAGTTCGGTCGCGTGCTTGGCCAGCTGCTCCGTCTTGGCGCTGACCTCACTGCCCTGAGAACGCGCGAGCTCGTTCGCTACTTTCCGAGCGCCTTGCAGGACGCGCACAAAGTCTTGCGTCCACATAGCTGCAGCGCGCTTGGGCCTGTGAGCGATAGAGAGAGATAGCGAGAGGTGGCGAGCGATAGCGAACGCTAAAGAAAGATAGCGAACGATAGCGAAAGGCGATTCGAACAACGATTGCGACGACTCGTTATGACTGATGTTATGATCCTGTATCGGTCGGAGGAGGTTACGAAATGTAACGGGCGCGCGGCGCTTGCGTCTGGTGTGAACCACCTTACTTCGGGCACGACGGCGATCGTGTGTGACACGTCATTCTGATTGCGGGCCGATCTTCGGACAACGCCTTTGTCGCCGCAGTCGTTACAACGCCACTTACATGACCGGTGCGGGTTGGGCTCACGTGTGTTAAGCCATGTGGACGGACCTCTTACTCCGTGTCGTTGTGTCGGTATGCAGATCAAGTCCGCGCGGCTCACTTGCTGATCAAGCACAGCGGCTCGCGTCGCGCATGTACGCACGTGTCCTTTTTCTTTCGACTCGTCATAAATTACTTGCACCGCCGCGTATCTGCAGTGGTTAACTTACCTTCTCGATTCTGTCTGATCCTCTGTAGCGTCGCGTCTGTCGAACAACATCACGCGATCCAAAGATGAAGCCATCGCACAGCTCGTCCGTACGTTGTCAAGTGTGTCTGTGTCTGTGTCTGTGTGTGTGTGTGTGTGTGTGTGTGTGTGAGGGATCGAAGTGCTGTATCGAAGGAACGACAGCATGTTGACGTCGCGTGTGGCTTTTGACACTTTTGCGTGGAATGACTGACAGAATTGCGGGACCAGATTGTGACGAAGCAGGCCAAGTTTGAGGACCTGGCGATGCAGTACAGTGACTGCAGCAGCGGTACGCGGGGCGGGGACCTCGGCCCGTTCGGACGCGGCATGATGCAGAAGCCGTTCGAGGACGCCACGTGAGTGTCGTGTCCTCTTGTTGGTTGTGGCACAGGCGTGTGCGTGTGTGTTGTTGCTCGCTGATTGTTGTGTCTGGTGTGTACTACTTGCGGTGAAAAGGTTTGCACTTGCGGTGGGCGAGCTGAGCGACGTTGTGGACACGGACAGTGGCGTGCACATTATCCTGCGCACCGCGTGATTCCACATTGTCACCGTCGCACCAGTCGTTGAAAAGGATGAGGAGTCCGCTCGTTCGCTCGATGATGCTGGCAGCAGCGCTAGTGTTTGACGCTGGGAGTAATTTGAACTGGATGGATGAAGAATGCGTTTGTCATCCGCTCGACATGTGATACTGATGTGCTCCGTTAGCTGCACCATGTGCCTCTGTCACTAGCTTCGACCACCTCGCAAGTGAGTACTCAACCACGCGCGTAGCTGAGTCGATCGGCTACAGAAGAGACATGTAGCACTTACGCACAGCTTCCAGACTCGCACTTTTCACCTTGCGACAACGCTCGCGATCGACGTCATTCCGTGCCCACATACCTGCAACACGCATCTGTAGTAGCAGCCCCTGACAAGTGTAGCACAACAGGCCAAAAGCCGTCATGCGTTGTAGCCATCTGCATTGTAGCCATCTGCATTGTAGCCATCTGCATTGTAGCCATATCGACTGACACTCTCGTGGCGCGAAGAACGAGCGAGCGATGTACCCCTTCGCCTCGTTTTTATTCGCTGCCGCCCGTCATGCTTTTCGTCCAATCCCAAGCGGTACGTCTCCACCGCTCGTTTCTAACGCGCACAACGCCCTCGAGCCCTCACGAAACATGCGCTCCGCCCGTTTCTTCGCCCGGCGCATGGCCACTGCCGCCGGCCGTCGCACGATGGCTTCGTCACACGGCCGTCACGGACAGGAGTATCCGCATGGCATGCACTTCCACGTCAGTCCCGTGCACAAGAACTTGGCGCTCGCGTACGGCACAATGCTCTGGCTGTGGGTCTTTTGGCGAGCGAAACAGGACGGTCTCGCTTTGTTGGTACGTTCGTCCGTCCGTCCGTCCGCGTGTATACGTCGAGTTTGCACGTATACATCAATATAGAAATGGACGCAGCTTGCAACGTCATGCTCGATACCAGTGTCACTGTCTGCTTGATCAGTGTCACGCGTATGTCTATTGCTGACGCTGATTTCTATGCTGTCACCTGCAGGGCTTCGAGCATCCGTGGGATCATCACGGCCACGACTCGGCAGCGAGCCACTCGTTGGGTGACAAGAGCCACTCGGACGGTGAGGCTTTGCCCGTGACTGTGCTCAGTAGCAGCAACGACGAGAGCGAGGAGTTTGACGTCCTCGATGACTTGCACGACGTGGAGGACGAGTAAAGGGCACACAGCTGCCGTCAACAAGTGACCGGTTCTTGACTACTCGGCTCTTGGCATGCAATGGGGTCGCTGCTTCCTCTGTGGCTGCAGCCGGAACGGCGTGGACTGGCTACTGAACACTCGTGTCGGACGGTAGACGATCGAGTCGGACGGTAGACGAAGCACAAGCTAGCCCACGGCAGCAAAAACGAACGCCATCATGCCCCATTCAGCCATCACTGCGTTTGTGTGTGTCATTGTTGCGGTCGATGCGAGCGCAGAGCAGTCACATGGTCAGCAATTTCGCGTGCAGCTCTTCCAGGTCTTCTGTTGTGCGGTACGTCATTTCAGCTGTCCTCGCAGCAAAGCGCTTGCGCAGGTTGTGGAACGTACCCCGTGTCGCGACTTTCGATCGCTTGTACTGCCGCACATCCTCTTCGAGTGTCGCCTGGACGCTGTCCATTTGCAACAACGCGCTGCGGAGCGCCGTGACGTGCTCGGCAGTGCGTTTCAGCGGCAAGAGCGCCCGCTCACGCACATCGTCTAGGAAGGCGACTTTGGACAAGAGGCCCTGGAAGTGGTGCGTGCGCTCAGCCAGCGACCTCTGCTCGAGCTCGAGGCGTTGGTTCGTCACAGTCAACTCGCGCAATCGCAGACGCAGAGCATCGAGCTGCGCGTCCACCTGACGTTCCTCTCGCTCTTCTTTCGACACTAGAGACGCGGCATCTTCCTCTCCATCGCCATCTCCTTCCCGCTCTCGATGGGCTCTCTCACTTCCCTCTTGCGTGCTCCCCCTCTCGGCTCGGAGCTGCGCGACCGTCTCCACGAGCGCGTCTGGCACCGACACAATGTTGCGACAAACGTACAGCTCAAACTTGTGAAAGTTCTTGGCAAAGGCCCGATGCACTTTGTCCATGTACGCTCCCGAGCCCTACGACCACAACAACCCGTCACGAATGCAATGGACTCCACAGCGTCTCACGTACGTTCTGCCAGCAGTCAGTCGTAACGACAACATCGAGACGCGCAGGTCCCGCCTACTTGTGCCTCGTTTGTCTGTCTCGTACCTTTGCAACTGCATTCAGCTGTCTCGCTTGTCGCTTCTTGTTCCCCGTGGACTCGAGTTTCTGTCCATTCGGTATACACACACACATGCAGGCAGCAGGTAGTGTGAGCCGTGTAAAGTAACCCCTAAGTACCGGCCACAAGACAGGTCCACGGGACAGCGCTCACCTGATGCAGAGCGTTTTCCACTTCGCCTGTGACTTCCACGACGCTGTCTGCAATTTGTTTCGTCACTGCAGCAGCCAGAAGGACATTCAGTGGACTAAACAGCGCATCTTTGTATCGACGAACGAGAACAACAGCGAGCAAACAGCGTCTTCATGGGTCACGTACGCGCGGGCAGAAACCCTGCCAAGATGCCGGTCGCCGTGTCCGTCATGCTTTTTGTAACATGTGGTTTCGTCGTTCATCGAAACATGTGCGTGGTATAAAAAGCGACGTCGAAGCACCCGGATGATGCTTTTGGCCAATGAACAGCGGCAGCGCGTCCGCCAATCAACAGCCGAGTCGTGACATCGACTTGGCCTGCCTGAGTCTTGTCATATTTTGCATGCTCCAATGCTGTACCTACTGATGAAACAAGTGGCTACACGCGCTCGCCCGGCACATCGGCGTCACTCGTCGCACACCAAGTTATGGGACCTCTTTCGAGACCGTAGGTGCTTTTTTTGGCTCTACCTATTGAAACATTGTGCAGTTGTGTGCGTCGTCATGTGAACAGCTCCTGTTTCGACTCGTCTGTTTTCTAATTGTCTGTCTGTTTTTACGGTCTTGTGTGTATGTTTTGTATGAGTGCAGCAGAACCACCGACCGAGTCAGAGGGTCCTCGGTACATAATGAACATGAAGGACAATCTGAGCTTTGCTCTCGAGCGTATGCGCCTTCTCAACGGACCTGTAGCGCTGCAGCTGCTCGATCGCAATGCTCGCCGAGTTGCAAAGGTACTTGACAACACATTTGTATGCCTCGACTAGAGAAAGTAGTAGTAGTAGTAGTAGTAGTAGTAGTAGTAGTAGTAGTAGTAGTAGTAGTAGTAGTAGTAGTGTGAGGATGTCGGGATATTTCATATTGATGGATGTGTTGTCTCTCGTGCTATGTAGGCCAATTCCAGCAAGCGGCTGTGCTCGTATCGTCGCCGGAGGCAGAAACGTCTTGTTCAGCGCTCGGACAAGTAGATTGTGGCTGCTTCGACGACCGCCGAAGTGACGAGAACTGTTGGTGCTCCTGTTGTTGTCAGGGTTACATGACAAGGAAATGCGTGAGACTCTTTTTGATGGGTACAAGCTCGTTCTCTCTAGACTACATCGGGTTGAGTCGTCAGTGGCGAGCATCTCGAACACTCTGTAATAACAACTTCATCAGCGCCAGGACCGAGTTCTTATGCAATGCTGTCCGTGCGCGAGCTCTCTCAATGGAGTACGCAAATGGTACTGGAGCGACACTATGCACCAGATAGCTTTGTTTTGTTTCTGTGGATTGTACATTACGTTGGCCGGATCATGGAATATGGTGTAGCATCATGATCACGTACCAAGCGTATGTATCATCTTTGGACCAACTTTGAAGTCATGTGTGACGGTAAGCCCCACAAAGTGGTTGTCCGTAGATTCGTGCATCCTGTCGGCAGGATTCGCTACATGCAACATATGCTCTGATGCGTCCTAGCGTTGAGCGGCAAGACAGTCTATTCAACACGTTTGGACCTAAGGATGAGGTACATTCGTAGCGTTATCATGCGATGTCGGGCCAGCTTTGTCATATGATGCACGGAGCTTCATTGCCAAGTAGACGTTTGTAACAGCAACTCGTTGCAGAAGTTACGTCGTGGCGTGCTCGGATCCGTCTGTAGACACATGTGACTCAAGTACTCTAACCCTTCGCAGGTTTCCTGACTTTCGAATCGATCTGTATCGTCACAGGTCCGTCGTTCACCTGCAAGTCAGTGCAATGAACGTCGGAATGAGTTGACAATGCACAACTACGTAGGACAGACCTCTTGACTATGTCTTACGAGAGATACTTCCATAAAGGCCCCGAACCTGCCATCAGCCACCTTGTCAGCAATGTGCTCACGACGCACGCGATCGCAGAACGCATCGTAAAACTTCTTTGCTGGCTCTGGTTTCACTGCAAAGCAATCGCAACAACAATAGCAAGCGTAAGAAGCGTCGTCCAAAAGTCATCAGCTTTGCTCACATCCCTGAGCAGGCAGAGCTACGAGACGGCAGATCAAAAGGTCGTACTCGAGAAATGGAAGTCGGGGCTGTTGCCAACTAGTTGTCCATGCAGCGTGAACTGACTCACTAGCAGCACCTCGTACCCGTTCTTCTTGACGGACGTCTTCCACGGCTTCCCAGACTCATCGGGCCACAGACGAGCGTTCTAACAGCAGCAGAACATCCACGACACTCAACTCAGCCCCGTGACCATCCAGCGCTTCACTCAGCATTCCACAGCATGTTGACCAAGCGAGTGTACCAGCAAACGACGACAGCACCACTCGGCGTCCTCGTCCGTGTCGTCCAGACCAATGCCGACAAAGCACAGCAAGCCAGTCCCGATCGCACCCACGGTTTCCCCCGCTACACACACCGAGGCGCTGGTCACGCGTTGCAGCACAAGTCTCATTTGGTTTCAAGCGCTCCCAGCCAACCAATTCCGGAAAAGCATCTGTCAATGCCGAACGGGTACGTCCGCACCAAAGTATCTGCTACTATTGGCAGTGCTGGTCGTTGTAGTAGTAGTAATAGTAGCAGTAGTCCAGATCGCTTCGCACTTGCATGGTGTCTCTAGGTCGTGCCCGCGAAGTGCTGCTCTTCGGACTGTCGGCGAACCCGCCAACAGGACGCAAGGGCCACATGGGCGTCGTGCAGCACTGTCGGGCGTTCTACGACGAGATTTGGCTCGTACCCGTGTTTCAACACGCGTATGCCACCAAGCGGGAGCTCGCACCGTTTGCGCATCGCGTGGCAATGTGTCGACTGGCGTTAGAGACGCTCAAGCGCGAACAAAGCGACGGAGCCGAGCTCAAAGTGGTGGAAGACGAGCGCGAGCTGTTCCAGCACGTGGCTGCGTCTCAGAAAGACGTCGGGCGTGTCGATGAGCGTCGTCTTGGCAGTCTTGACCTCGTGCACTACCTCCGCAGCAAACACCAGGACACCAACTTTACAATGCTGCTAGGCGGCGACACGTATGCGGATTTACTGGCAGGCAAGTGGAACAGAGGGGACGAGCTCATGCAGGTGGTCAAGTTTGTGGTCGTGGATCGCAAAGGGGTCGAGTCGACGTGGCGGGCACAAGAGCAGCAGAGACAAGCGGACACTGTGCGATACATTCATATACCAGCGCTCAGCGACGTGTCGTCAACGAGTGTCCGGGCTACAGCAGATCACGACGAGCTGGCCGCACACTTGGATCCAGCTGTCCTGGAGTACATCGTGCAGCACCAGCTCTATGCATTTGCTACGACGCCGAAATGACTGCAGGAGCTGCAACGTAGTACTCGTGCAGCAGCATTGACGTGTCAGTATATCCGCGCTCTAACGTGACGTTGCATTCCCTTCGCGCGCTCTTCGGCATGGTCCTCGCTCCGCCATGCACTGCATCGTATCTTTGCACCAGCAGCAAACATCGCTCTTCCATCCAGCAGCAACGACAACACACTGCCTGTGCAGCAACGTCGGCCACGTCCGCTCGACCGCTACTCTACCGTTCACTTGCTTGACGTGCGCGTAAAGCGCTGGATCCTCGTGCCTCCTTCGTGCAGCGAGCACTCGAGGATCTCCCGCTTGAGGCCCCACTTGAGGCTCTGCGTGTCAATCTCGTGCTCGGTGGCGTCGTCGTACCGAAAGCTCGAGCACATGAGCCACACGCCGCTCGTCGACAGCAGTCGATCGACCGTCCAAAAGAGCAGCGCAACCACTTCGTGCGCGTAAATCACGTCGGACGCGACAATCAGCTGCGTGTGCCGCGTCTCGCCGCCACCTGTCTGCTGTCCACGCTGCCCGTGCACAAGCGCCTGAATCTCCTGCATCCCGTCGGGTCCCCACCGTAGACTCTGCGTATAGCACGTGGCCTGCACGCGCTCCTGTTGCTGCACATTGTGCTCAATCACTTTGAGCACGCCGGGGTCGTGGTCCGTGAACGTCACCACTGCATGGGGCCGTAGCTGGGCGACCACGAGGCCCGTGAGGCCACAGCCAGCGCCCAATTCCACGACAGTGGGGCCGCTCGGAAGGCTCGCGCGGTGCTGGACGAGGTACTGGCAGAGCGCCGGAGCTGCTGGCCAGACGTAGTGGCCGCTCTGCAGCGCCCCTGGCTCGTCTTTCGTGTACGTGAGCAACACGGACACGTCGGCGCGGTCGCCATAGTCGTAGCGACACGTGACGCGCTCGAGACACGCGTCGAACATGAAGCCCACGTCCGTGAGCACGTTCTCCGTGCCGCTATTGTCGTCGATGTGGTGGTCGTCGTCCATGGCGCGTAACGGACGATAAAGCGGGCATTGAGCTGATGGCTACACGGCTGGCGATTGGTCAGATAGATCGATGGCGTGGTGATGGTGGTGATGGCTTCAAACGAGGTGGATAAACGAGCTGGATAAACGAGGGGGATATACGAGGTGGACAAACGAGCTGGATAAACGAGGGGGATAAAAGAGGTGGATAAACGAGGTGGATAAACGCATGGCGGAGAGCGGCGTGGGTGTTTACGTTTGAGTGTCGATGTGGATGGAGATTCTGCCTGGAATCTTGAACAGACGCGACAACACGACAACGAAGTGAAGGGAACTGAATTGTTGTTGTTTTGTATTCGTGCTGTAAGTGTGGTGTGACGTGTGGTATGCCGACTCGATATGACGTGCGTTGGGAGTGGACTGCGGTATCACTACGATGTGAGCTCTTTGATTGGTTGACTGGACCGGCGTTGCTGTGATGTGGAGACATTCCATTTGGTTCGTGTGGACCGGAGTCAGCAGCACTTTGTGGGTATACTGAAGCGACATATCGTGAGGAGTACTATGCTTTCATCTTCGTACAGTAGTTACTTTCTCTGAACGTGCAGACGAGCTGTTGGTGATGTGTAACGCGTGTGGTCAGTCACACATCGATCGATCCAGCTATCTGTCTATCGAATTATCTTCTATCGATCCATCGATCGATCGATCGTACGACGCTTCTTGCCATCAACGACTATGGACATTCGATGGTGCTTCACCACCTACGAACCACAACTTTGCATTCAACCTTATTTAAAGTGCTACGAGAAAACTGACATCGTCGTCAACCATCCAGAAGCCCACTGCACCATTGCACCTTCCTTCTGCTTTCTCTTTTCCTTCTTCTCTTTTTCTTGGCCGCCACTTGCAACGGACCCCGGGCTCAAAAGTTGGACCCTTCAGGCGGCTGCGCCAGGCGTCGGTTAGCAGTAGAACCCATTTCAGCGCGGATGGCCACAAGCACGTTTTCAATGCCATTGTTCCGGTGCCAGTTGCCCAGAGCCGCCAGTCGTCGCGGATCCACGCGACCAGAATGCGGATCCACACAGTTCATTTGAATGCGACTCGTAAAGTGCACTTCGGGCGGCAAGTGCGGGTATTGGTCACTGCAGTGGATCCGCAGACTGTAGATACGTCCATCGTGACACGTCTACCCGGTCCATTCGACGTACACATCCATATGTACACGTACAGTACAAACAAACATCACAACACCACGTGTGTTAACTCACAAGATACGCGCACACACCACAATACCAACGATTCGACATAAACAGAAGAAAAACGAAGCAGCGGTACAGAAGACACAAAAGAGTCGCAGCATAGCACTCACGTTCGGGGGACCGAGGATCGTGCCGATCCAGTTTGTGAGAAAAATATCGTCTGCCTGCTCTAATCCGTACGAGATGCTCATGTCGCCAAGACCCTTTTCGCTGTTCTCGAGCTCTTCCAGCAACTTGAAGTTACGCGGCACTACCAACACACCAACAACAATAGAAAACCGCCGTATCTCGTAAGAGTCAACAAGATGACAAGGTGGACATAGCATACACGAGCTCGCAGAGCTCCACAAGGCCGCCATCAAATCAGCGGCAGAGCGACGTACCAATCACCACTTCGGCACCATGTTTTGCCATCACAGACACTCACAGCACACGGTGCTACACTGTATCAATGCACATGGCAACACAAAGGCGAAAGAAGAAGAAGATGAAGAAGAGTCAGTATACAGGTGTCTTGTTGTTGTTTGTGGTCGTGTTGTTGGTGTTGCATTGGGTACGTAAGGGAAGGAATAGGAGAAACACTGGCGGCTCCACAAGGACGTGTGATGGGTACAAACGTCGTGTGTCGCCGCCTACGTCCTCTCCCCCTCCGCTTCCCCCAGTATTTCGAACGTTTCCACGCGTGTCAGGCGTAAACTTGCCTCGTCTCTTTTCCTGCCTTCTCGCTCGTAACTCGCGCTCTGGGGCGAGTTCTTCCCCCTCCCCCTCTCGCCGGTGCCGTGGTGGCTCGCAAAACGATGGGATTGGCCAAAACGGCACAGTCATTTTAACGAATCATCAACAAGGCCGACACTCACGCGCGGTCTCGGTGTGTGTATGTGTCACACACCGATTTACATCCCCTGTCGAGTCCCACGAGCTCTTTTCGCACAAAGATACTTTTTCTAGTCGTCTCTACAGTCGCAGTCACGATGCGTCGGACCTACTTACTGCTGACGCTTGAAACGCCGTCTCCCGCAGCAAAAGCGCTCGTAGTCGATCGAGTTCCTTGCGCCACATCTGAGTCGGCGTCGTGGTCTGCAGTTCGTGCAATCGCACTTGTTTCGTCGCGTGTTCGTGCTGCAAACGATCGGCCACTTCCTTTGTAAAGCTCACGAGGGACGTGTTGAGCAGATAGTCGTAATCGTGTTCGCCTTCATTGCAGTCGTCGTCCATTGCTGCTGCGTCATCGAACGCACGATCGAGTGGCATGACCTCGAGCGCACCCATGTCGTCGACGCCTGTCGTTCGAAAAGACGATGCTGGCGAAAATCCGTGCTCCTTTAGCAGTGCAACGAGCGCAGCTTTTGGCAACCGCTCTCGGACAATCTGCTGCAGACTGCCGGACGAGACCTCTCGGACAAAGCGGATGCGATTGCTCAGGTACACCAGCTCTTTCTGTTGCTGCTGCTCTAGATACTGCTTCCGCTTGGCGTACAGCTCGCGCCGGACACCGTAAAAGTCGCGCAACATGTCGCCGCTCGTCTCGTACTTGATCAGCTGACCATCAGCATTGAACGCGTGCATGTTGCTGATACTCAGCGGCGATTCCAGACGCAGCAGTTTGACCAGTGCTTCGCTGTCCCCAGCGTCGATGCCAGTGGCTTCGTCGGAAGCTGCTGCGTCGCTGGCGTACTTGGCAAGGTCCGAGCGAGCCATCGAGATGTCAAAACGCACATTCCGGTCCGTGTGATGCTCAGAGAACGATCGAATGGCTTTCTTGCCTACAAGGTCCCACAAGAACTTCTTGTAGTCCTCTACCCACTTGCTCAGTGGCAGCTCAGTCACCCGTAGCGTCGACGTATTCACCTGTTGCACGCTACCACGTGAGACAAACGAGTGCTCGCCAGTCTGACGAATGTCGCCGCTAAAGCCTTTGGCCCACGGAGTCATCGGTGCTAACTCGACCTTTGACACATCCTCGCCGACTTCTTCTGCATCGAGGAGCTTCATCAAGTTGTCAATCACTTGTACCGGGTGGTGACGAGGAATAGACGACGACCAACCCGTACCAATGCCCTCTGCGCCGTTCACAAGCAGCATTGGAAGGATGGGAACGTAGTACACGGGCTCAACTGGAAAACCGTCATCATCGGCGTAGCTGAGCAACACGTCGTCTTCCTCGGGAAAGATCAAGCGAGTGTACTTCTGAAGCTGCGTAAAGATGTACCGGGGACTAGCTGCATCCTTGCCTCCTTGCAATCGAGTACCAAATTGACCGGATGGATACAGTAGCGGGAGGTTGTTCGAGCCAACAAAATCTTGTGCCATGTTGACAATTGTCGAATGTAACGAAGCTTCACCGTGATGGTAAGCTGTGTGTTCGCTGCAGTAGCCTGCCAGCTGCGCCACCTTGACTTCACCCGTCAGCTTGCGCTTCATACAAGCGAAAAGCACTTTGCGCTGCGAGATCTTGAGCCCATCAACCACCGACGGCAGTGATCGTGCATTATCTGCATGCGAGAACTGAATGAGCTCGCGATTGACAAAGTCACGGTACGTCACATGTCCCGAGCTTGTATCGAGGTAAGCGTCGGGAGAGTATTCGTTCAAAAGCCAAGCCTTGCGATCAACAGCACGTGCTTTGCTGAAGACCATGTCTAAGGCATCACCATCGCTCTCGCCGCTCCAATGGAAATCCACGAGGTGCTGGTCCAGGTCGCTGAAGTACTCGCGTCCTTCGCTGCTAGTGCTTGTACCCAGACCTTTGTAGTACTTGATGTTGTAATACTTGAGCTTGTTCCGATCCAGCGAAGCTTTCCATTCAAAGTATTCCGGCAGGCTGAAGAAGCGGCGAGTCTCTAGCTCATGCTTAGCACCAGCACGCTTGGAAGAAGGACTCACTTTTACCAAAGGCGTGATGAACTCGCTGATAAAGCCGTCTTGTTCTAGCAGCTCCGGCCAAAATGTGTGGAACAAGTTGAACAGCAAGCCTTTGATGTGAGAGCCGTCATGATCCTGGTCCGTCATCACGATCACACGCCCATAGCGCAATTTCAGCCGTGCGTCCTTTGTGCCATAATGGTCGTCCATGCGAAGACCAAGAATCGTGCATAGGTGCGCAAACTCGGCATTCTTACCAAGTTGAGCCATCGATGCGTCGCGTACGTTCAGCAGTTTGCCTCGGAGAGGGAAAACGCCGAACTGGTCGCGCCCAACTACTGCAAGACCTGCCACAGCTAGAGCCTTTGCTGAGTCGCCTTCCGTAAGGATCAACGAGCATTCGCTAGAACGAGGTCCACCAGCAAAGTTAGCGTCTTCGAGCTTTGGCACATTCACTGACGTGCTTTTTGAGCGCGAGGACGACACCTTTTTGAGGAGGTCTGCTCGCTGTCGTGCGCGGGCGCTCTGTACGACACGCTCGACAATTCCAGAGTCCGACAGTATGTGCTTCAAAAGTCTTTCGGACAGCGTACATGATGACCCGTACGTCTGTGGCCGCGAGGTCATGTACTCTTTCATCTGTGAGTCGAACGTCGGATTCTCGATTTGGCAGTTGATGAAGATCGCGACGTGTGGCTTTACGTGCGCCACGTTCACAGACAGCTCCGGGTACTTCTTGTTCACGAGCTCCACAACACGGCGACAAATTTGATCACTGACGTAACCAACGTGGGAACCGCCACGAAGTGCCGACATACCATTGACAAAGCTAACTTGAACAAAGCCTACGTCAGACGGCAGCACGCCGATTTCCCAATGCTTGTTCACACGGGAATAGATGTGGTTCGGACCTGACGAAGGTGCATCCCCGCTACTGTTCACCACACTACCTCCCTTGTTGGTCTTGGAAGTCAGCGATGCCGTAGTGGACTGACAAAAAGCCTGGATGTAAGACTCGAAGCCGGAAATAGGCACCTTCTTGCCATTTAGCGTTACTTCCACGTCTGTCAAGCAACCAGCCACATCGTACACCCGTTTCGTCAGTACACGCATCATGCTTGCACTGAGTTTCTCCATCTCGAATTTTTCCAGATCGGGCGAAAACGATACTTTTGTGAAATCCTTTGCCTGCTTGCCTGTAAACTCTGTAATCTCCGGTTCCCCGCGACTGCGCATATTGTTGTTCCAGCTCTGTTTGTATTGCAACCCCATGGACGCATCGCCTGTCTCGACGACAAACTCGTTGCTAAAGATGTTTGTCAACTTGGCGCCATATCCATGGCGTCCACCCGTAAGTCGCGCGCTCGTATCGTCAAAGTTGGATCCTGTCAGTAAATGGCCCAGTACTAATTCCGGCACATAGACCTGCTCCGTCTTGTGGAATTCCACTGGAATCCCTTTGCCATCATTGTAGACTGAGATCCACGACTTGTAGCCATTCTCTTTGTTGCCAGGATCGATCACGACATCAAGACGTCGCATGGACGGGTCGCGAACTTTGTTGTCCACTGCATTCACGATGATCTCGTCGAAAATCTTGTACAACGCAGGAACGTACTCGACCGTCTGCTGTTTCATCCGCACGATTTCTACGTCTCCTAGCGCTTCAGGATCCGTAGACACCATCCAGAGATTGTCCTTTGTCGGCTCCACCGAGCCAATGTACATACCTGGACGAAGTAAAACATGTTCCAGCGGTGTCTTCTTCTGATAGATGCTCTCGATGCTGCTATAGTTGCGTCGAGTCCATGTCAACACTGGACACTTGGCAATCAAATCCTGCTCCTGCCCCGCTAGCAACAAGTCATTTGTATGGGTTCTACATCGTCTCGACGGCAATTGAGTCGCTATCGACACACGTGACGCCACATACGGCGCTGTTGCGGAGGCTGTACGTGTCGTACGAAGCCCGTTGTTGCACGTAGATGTAGCATACAGACTGGCGAGTGACGCCCTATGTACAGACGTCTCCGTTCGCGGTCGATACGCGCTAGCAACGTCGCGCAGCGCCCGTCGCCGCCCGGCTCGGCAGTGCCACATGCGCGATGACCGATGTGCGTTCGCGTGGACGGGATCGCTGGTTCTTTTCCACCAATCAACGCACGTCCTGTCAAATGTGCTCTTACACTGCACCGCCACCTGCTGCTGCTCTTCGCCCCGCAATGTGCTCTTATAGACCCATGTCACTATTCGTGCGCGCTCGACCAATCACTCGGTGCGAATGGACGCCAAGAAGCGCAAGTCGTTCGTAACGTCGACTGGGCGCTCGTCCGACACGGAGAGCGAGTGCTCCGCCGCGCCGGCGTCGCAGCTGCCACGAGGACCCGACGAGCTGCACGAAGAGGTTGTCGCCGACAATGGCCTGTCGTCTGCCGACGCCAAGAAGCAGCGAGTCGCTGCCCCTTGTGGGACGCCGGACAAGCCACCGGTGGACTCAGATGCGTTGTGTGGTTCCAGACCCCTCTCGGTGCTGAGCGGGACGGATGCGCTGCAAGTCGTTGGTGGTGGTGAAGGGACTGCCATGAAAGTCGAAGCGCCAGTGACGCTGTTACCGGTCGTCGCAGCAGCTGCTACTGCGACTGGTACTGCGACAGGTAGTGGTCTTGACGCGCGCCCGCGAAAAGGCCGTCGCGTGCGCAAGACGAACCTCGAGAAGATGGAGATTTTGGCGTTTGTTGACCGGGGCGGATCGCAAGGCGCAGCCGCGGAGAAGTTTGGCGTGTCGCGGACGGCCGTGACCAAGATGGTGAAAGAACGGGCCGCGATCTCGGCCCAAGCGCTCGTGGAGAGCGTGACGAGCTCGCGCAAAGTGCTGCAGTACCAGCACAAACTCAGTGTGATTGAAGACATGCTGCACAAGTGGCAGATGCAGACCGAGGTGGACGCCCCTGCGCTCAAGATCACGGGCGAGCTGTTGCAGTCGAAAGCCATGGAGTTTCGCAACAAGATCTTGGCCGATTACAGCAGTGAACTGACGGACGAAGTGGTCATATCGCTCACGGACTTTAAAGCGTCGAATGGATGGCTGCATCGGTACATGCAGCGACGTAGCATGCGGTCGCTGTCGCGATTGCAGGGCCAGGCGGGAGGCGCACTGCTGTCAACGGATCGACTGAACCACGATCAACGTATTCAGAAAGTCCGTGACTTGCTCTTGACGGTCAGTCCAACGTGTATATGGAATCTGGACGAAGTGGCGCTGCGCCATCGCACGACGTCGGCCAGACTGGACTCGATTGTCAATATGGACGCACGTAGCCTTGAGCGCATCTCAGTTGCTATGGCATTGAGCGCATCTGGGGAAAAGCTTTTCTTGCAAGTTGTTGGAAAAGACCCACTTCCAGACTCGTTGAAGGACGTGAACGCGTTGATGAGCTACGGTGTCCAGTACCGTGACCATTGCCAAGCTGCACACGATGCGCAAGCGGTACTCGACTTCATCCACGCGATGAACCAAGAAGCAGCAACCCGAAAGCAGGTGTGGTATTTGGTGCTGGACAGCTGCACCGCACACATAGCTGCTGCGCACGCGCTCAACCCGTCCGGCTCGTTTCGAAATAGCTTCAGCTTTGAGTCCATTGTGCTACTCTTCGTACCCCCTAGCCCGTCGCGTGATGCTCAGCCTCTTCACCAAGGTATCGTGAAGTCGTTTAAGCTACGCTACCGTCGTGAGATGCTGCAGACATTGCTTCAGGAGCACAAGCTGTGGGAAGAAGCTATTGCAAGTGGTCAACGCGGGCACAAGTCAACGCCAGGTGAAGCATCGGCTGTCGATGATGTCTTTGATGTTCACGCGTACACGCACATGCGGAACACGTTGATGTGGCTCCATGTAGCGTGGGAGTCGATACCGCAGTCGTCCATTCGACAGGCGTGGTCTACAAGTTTGTACTTGCCCGCGGCTGTTCCTGGGGACAGTGAGTCCTCGGCATCACTGTCTGAAGAAAGTGAAGTTATGATGTTTACGGAACTGCTAGCTCAGCTAGCAAAAGTGCCAGCGCTTCAAAGGGCATTGGGACTCGATTGTACAGACGACCCCGGTCAGTTTATGATGGAGCTGCTCGATTTCGACAAGTCTGAAACCACTGGCACGGATGAAGTTGCCAAAGATAACGAGATTGTAGTCGAAAGCTTGGCTTCTCAAGGACTTCTTGGCGACACGCAACGGGCATTGGTGCTAGAGGGCATGAAGAGCGATGATCCGCCTTTCCTCACGGCAAGTGAGGCTCACGTGACAGTATCACGGTTATTGCACTTTATCCAAGACAACAACAATCTGTTGACTATGTCCGAGCGGCGAACCGGACGCACGAATCTCTTGATGTTGCAACGATTGCTGGTAAAAGCCCGAAAGAGGGAACACGAAAGGGGAGCAACTACCGACTTTACTGTATAAAAATATGTCGGGGTTTGCAGTGGTACGTGTAATTCAGTATGTTAACTCGGAGGATGAATACAGTCAGCCCACGGCTGCTATTTTGTGACTCGAAACGAACAGCGCGAGTGTTTCAGGACATGGTGTCAACGCAGCTGCTTGTTGCATAGCCAAAGGCTGGAGCATCGACGATGCAATTGATGTTCACGTGAAGTACATGCGCTGAGCTACTACGGCACAGCTTTCCCTTTTTCGCTCTCGACTTTGTTGGACACTTCTGTGACATTGCCATTGCAGCACAACAATGGCAGCGTGTTGAGCTGCATCGAGATGCGCAAACAATAGTTCATTTCACTCACTTCCGCTTTGATGCAAGCTGTCGTTCGTTTTCGTTTCTTGCGTGCATTTGTGGGCTCAGACAGTGATCTTCTCACGGGCAAGCTGTTGTTAACACTTTGTGCAAATGCGTGCGTCTTGTTTCCTGCATCTCATTTGCATAAGATGACGATCTTGCAAGCGCAGGAGTTTGGCCTCAACTTTGCCTTTGACAAGAGCTATACCCGATCTCTGTAGCATATGCACCTTTCCAACGCACAAGTAACGACGGCAAGTTGCCCAAGCAGCGACCTGCTCCTACGCCGCAGCAGATACCAACAGACAAGCTCGCTCATTCCGAAATCCTCCATGTTCGATTCCATGCACTTGAGCCTGAAGAGAAGAAGCACTCTTTTGCGAGCACTGCTTGAAGAACGACCTCCGAGTTGTAGCCCGTCAACACATCACTACGTCCTGCACTGCTCGATAGATGCACAGCAGAAACATACAGCTCGAGGCATGGCTGCTGCTGGACCAAGATGTCATGGTCCCGAAAAAAACAAGTGTAGACTCGACAACATAAGCTTCACTTTGCAGTGGTCACAAAGGATGCAGTTTCATCCATGTAGACGACGCACGTGCACCCACCGTACGCATGCTGTCCATTTGGTCGTCTGCATGAAGCAAGCATAACCACAGAACCTCGTGAATCAGTCTATAGCTTCCACTGTGGTTTGCTAGACCGATGGACCCGCTGTGCAGGTGCTTGTCGATAGTATCCTAGCTGTAAGCTCCCACGACGTTTGCCCATGTACGCATTTGTACTTCTCAATCAGACACTTTGACTGTATCGACAATAAACACCGTCACTGGTTGTCTGCTCGTGAACCAGAGCGTAATAGACAATAGGCAGGTTGAGCGTCTGCATGATCGGACGGATCTTGCGCTCTACACTAACGGACTGCAGGATGGACAGGTAAAGGTGTCAACTGCACGGAGACATCCACGTTTCGTGAGCAGTCGTCAGTTGTAGTGACCCAGTCAGCAATTGGCTCCGTGGTGATGGACAACACCATCACATTGCTCGTCAACGTGCGACATGGCTTCATTATTTATACCCCCACTCACTCGAATTCGACAAGTGGTGGTCGTGAACGACAAGTAAGTGTAGTCGCGAGGTGACTCGGACCGAGTAACGGAGACGTTACCGCATCCGGCAAGTAAGTCAAAGAGAATGGACGCGATCCTGTCGATCGGCCAGGAGGCTGTGGCTTCTCCTCTGCAAGTATACGACACTGGAATCCACGCGACAGCTTACTGACGTTTGCCCGATCGTAGACATATCGCCGAGTCGCTGAGCTCCAAGTGTACGACCCCAACGGTTTGCGTTTCGTGCAGTATCATCAGCCGTTTTGCTATGTTTCATTTGCATGACAAGGTGTGCTACGACGATACCAGGAGACGATGCGCTTTCATAAGACTGCATACGGGTAAGTAAGTTGTAGTGAGTGATGGCAACGCACGCCACGAAAGGTCTTTGTTCGTAATCATGCGCAACAACAAATCGCAAGAAGGACACGGGCAGTAGTAGTAGCGAGTGGTACGATCAGCTGTTTCGTGGCTGTCGTGAACAGATGATGGAACGAACGACGCGACAGCGATAACAGTCAGTTTAGTCGGTTGGCGCAAACGAGAAACACCGAAACGTGTCGATTGCCCAGCGGGTTGGAACGTAATGTCGTCCCGAGAAAAGCGTTGGAAGAGACTTACAACGATCGGCTTTGTGTCGCGTCCCTTGAAGTGTGCGTTCGAGTCCGAGTTGAACGTCGCGCTCACTATAGAGGAGAGGGATGGCGACTGTGTTGCGCACAAGGTGTGTACCAAGGCGGATATCACACGTCTGCCTGGATGTGAACATTGCTCGTATTGCTTTACGCTGTCAGTTATGAACACGCACGTGGCGTTCCTGGATCGACCCTCGAAGTGGGGAACGAACTGGTAGTAAGATGCAGGACCACCTGCTACCGGTTCCTTTCGAGCACGGGTCAGAAAGGTCGAAGATGCGCTTATCCGGAAATACACCGCGACAGATTGCACGAATCAGAGGGCTCGCCGACTCGCATGCACTGATTCTGATTGGCTGAATCGATCCCAAACGACATCGAAAGGACCCTCGAGAGCCACAACCCGCACCAGATGCACTGGATAAGCTAAAAACAACAACAGCCAGTAGGCTCGTTCCGCCTGACCGTCACGCAACGAGCCGTTGAGAAAATCAAATCGTCCATGCAGCGTCTTGTCTATGAGACTGCATCCATCACGTGTGTTTGTTTGTCTGACGTACGGCGTGCGTATGCAAATAGACGGATCGGAGGTGATTGCATACAACTATAGCCCTGTTGCATCACTAGCACGACCGCTGCGTCCGAGTTGTGAACGACCCCATATCCCAATTTGCGTGGTGCATCCGAAGCTCTTCTCGCACCAAAGTTGTCACCACCAGTTCGACCACTACTGCTCTTTTTCTTCTTCTTCTTCTTCTTCTTCTCCTCTGTCGAAGAGGAAGCTTACTCAATGATGCAGCACTTCCAGCTCGACACTTGTATGGTTCCGGCCGACATGTGCTCGCACGCGAACGCCAAAGCCTTTCAGTGCCCTGACGTCCGATGCGGCCGTCGCTTCAACCGCAAGTACACGCTCACCGAGCACATGAAGACTCACACGGGTGAGCGCCCGCACGTCTGTCGCGCCCGTGGCTGCGGCAAGCGGTTCAGCACGTCGGGGAACTTGTCCCGCCACATGCGCCTCCACGGTGCGATTGAACCCGTTCATTGCCCCGTGAAGGGCTGTTGCAGCAAGTTCATGAGCGACATCAAGCTGGCCAAGCACATGCGTTCGCACTACATGCCTCGAACACACACGTGCAAGGTCCCCGAGTGTGGCAAGTCGTTTAGCACGACTGGCAACCTCAACCGTCACTTGAAGAACCAGCACACGGAGGAGGAGCGTATGCAGTACAAGTCGTTGGCCCCTGCTTCACCGTCTTTGAGCTCCATCTGCAGTACCCCCACGAGCCAAAAGTACGGCATCTCGCCCATGCGCGACAGCCCCATGGGCATCGATCACGAATGGACTGGTGTGTCGTGGAAGTTGATCTCGGATGCAGTCGAGTTGGAGATGCCTGATCCGTTTGCAACCGCGTGCACTGCGCCGTGGAATCCCGAGATGTTGAGCATGCTATCCCAGATTTTGCTTAGCTGAATGAGGACCACATGATTAACTAGACCATAGTAATATTATAACAGTCAAGCGCGTGCTCGGTACCGTATCGCAACAAGCCAACACGCGCTAGAAATCGCCACAAAGATACATGGGGAAGCTCATATGTGGACTCACGATGATGAGAAGCAAGTCTTTGTAGCAACATGTGCCATCGCATACGCCGGTGGCTCCTCTGCGGAAAAGTCGGAAAATCTGTGGCTACTCATGTCGTCAGTGCATGTGCATGGCAGCCTGCAATCAGCCACGAGAAAACACCGAGCGCAATCGGAATATGAGAATATACACCGGGTTTGTTGCGCGTACAATCGGGTCAACAATGATCCCCTCACGCTAGCGACTCGCTAAGCGAGTGCCTGCATACTTGCGTTGATCGCAGGTCATACGATTATATAAACAGTTATTGCCGCTCGATGAATGTGCACGTTGCAGAAAAACACGCGGAAGCCTTTGTCGGGCGTGTCCAACATTGCATGTTCTTGTTAGGCGTTGGAGTTGACACACGCATGAGTGCGATGTCACCACATTAGGGCGGAGCCCACATGATTGCGATATCGAGAAGCTTGACAAAGCTAGACTTGATCGGTGGTATTATATTACTGAAGAAAACGCTGTCATCGTCTTAATTTTCCCTCACTAGTTTAAGACACATTGGCTTTCGTGCATTTGGTGCGGCAATCGTTCCGACACTACTGATAGGCAAGCAGAATGTAATGCTTTTAGGGAGAATATTTTTGTAAATTTAAACCACGTAGCAATGCATTTATGAAAGACCTGATTTAGAAAACGCTTTTCTACATAAAGCTGCATCATAAGGATTATGTCGCTGGCCTAGAAAAGTCGATATAATCAATACCTCTATGCCATAGCGCCCCTTATAAGAAAGAGAAAACCGCAGGATCATTTGACGACACCCGGTCACGAAGCGTAAACGACACACAGTTCCATTCACATGTTCACGCGTCGATCTTCGTAACCTGCATGCAACGTTCTTTACATCAACAATGCAGATTTCTCCTGTCATAGTCACCATCTCGAGTCAAGCACAAAACAACGATTTGTCACGCCTTTATGGTGCCAGGCACTGGCAAAGTTTAACACCCATATTTACGCTGCACAAGGCACATAGTAACATATCAAAGTCAAGTGGTGAGCAGTGTCGTAACTCAAACCGCTTAACCAGTCTCACACCTTATAATCCGTTCGACGCTTGGCTTTGTAAGGAAACTTGACAGCTTGACATGATTATTGGAGCGCAAAGAACTGTCCCAACTTTTATAAAGTCAAGCGCGCATTCGCGTGACATACAATACGAAACTACAATAAGTGTGTGACGGCGCGCCAACGGAAGGCAAAGCGGTCGTGATAAAGAGACAAAAAACGACGTGATCGTCTGACAGTTCGCCAATCAGTTGCCTCTCACTTTAGTACTATCATCCGCTCTGTCGCCTTTCCAGCAAACCTAGAGTATACTTTACAAGGTGAACAGAGAAACGCGCGACAGGTGTTCATGCATTGCATCACGACAACTCTGCTGAGACGTCCAAACGTTCAGTACTCATTACAACTGTCCAGTAAGTAGTTGACGCTCAATAGTAGCACGCGTCATTCAGTACAGCTCCAACGTTTCCTTCCGTATAACGCAACATAGATGTCGAATGCTTGTGAGTACTTGTTTGGTAAGCGCAATGACATCCGACGTCTGCTACAGGTATAATTCGCCAACCACATATATTGCAGCACAGAGGGGAGCGTGATTGCAGATGAATGTCTTCATGCTACATCAATCTGCAGGTAAGCAGTTGTCGGGAGCCAGCTATTGTAGTAAGGCAAAGCTAATGCGACCGTGCTTCCACGGCCGCGATAATGGTGGCTTGTGCAAGTTCGGCACTGAGACTGAGAATGCAATAAGGCTTATGCTTGCAATGAGGTCGGGAAAGCAAGGGGTAGATAGCATAGAAACTAGCTGCAGGTACCAGCATCTATCCGCACGTACTTTGTGCATCGGAAACAAATCGGAAGATGAGTCCTAACATGTAACGAACAAACCAGTAGCCAATCTCCAGTGAACCGTTGGTGGTGGTACGATGAGCACAATAAGAATCTAGGACACCTGTAAAGATCTGCATTCGATGTGTTGTCATGCCCATTTATGAATAGCAAGTCAATCGTAGTTTACGACGTTGTGCCTCCGAAGCCAAACCGTGCATGCTGTCCATATGAAGGCAAGCACGTAAAGTGCAATGAGATCAAAGGGTATGAAGAGATGCGGATGGGCAACAAAGACCACGTAGATGACGTAGCTATCGGTAACTTTCGAACTGCAACATTGAAGGTGTGCACTCGACAGCAACGCATTAGAGTTAGCTAAAAAAGATGAAGCAGGTGCCTGCTACTATGGCTAACGGGACGATTTGTGTCATCCATAGATCTTGTTGTGAGTGCGGTGAAACGATTCAGGGTCAGTAAAGTATAGCAATATAAGCGAATATAGCGAAGTTGGTACGCATGCTAACATCACGCAGAAGAAATGATTCGCGATTGTCGGACGTTGGTTCTTATAAACAAACCTGGGTACATTTATATCGGAATGTGAATGTTGGTCTGGAAGGTCTACTGAGCAAGGTAAAATCCCCTCGTTTAATTTAAAACTCCGAAGACTTAAATTCAGTGATAGTGAGTATCGCACTGAACAAGAATTCTACATCGATGTCTTTCTCAGACATGGATGGTACAACGATAATTGAGACCGTGACGGCCAATACTTGGATCACGATTGGATAGCTATAAAACAAACTGTTGTAAGCACAGCCTGTAAAGCCTCGTTTGACAACCTGCTGTCTCTCGTAGTAGGCTTGAGGAATAGTTCGCTTACTAGCGCTCAGCTTGTACATCACAGGATAATTTTAGAGGCAAGATTGCCGTATCTTTCATGTAGCGACCACTGTCAGAGCTTGTTGACAACTCTGATTATCTATAAATAGGTCATCCTAAGTCCTTGACTATATTGGAGGGCTTGCATCTCGTCGGAAATGAGCGGAGATATTACAACCTCGCAATCCCTTGAATTGAGCTGCAAGTGTTTATCATCCCACGGTCTTTCTGAACTTTTAGGAAGTCCCTCTTATACTGCAGATTGAGGCCAAGAACTCCCGACGCTAGCCTTATTCCCACGTGTTATCTTAGAGAAGAATATTAGCGCGAATGCCTAGGTACCTAGCCCGACGTCCTTCCACCTCTATATAGCTCATGATACTACTACTCTTCACTGGACATCGTTGAACACCGTGTAAATCCACCACCATGTGTATTCATGGCGGGAGATTTTTGGTCCGGCGATTCGGTCAGACAGGCTTTGTGTTGAAGAGCTGAATCGAGGAACGTTTCAGTAATGCGAGGATATCAAACATGATTTCTGAACATATCAGCAGCATAGCGCCTATCGGGAATCGCGTTGTCCCGAGAAGCTTCCTCATGTATGGGTACTTAATGAGGGATTCCTCATTCTCGTGACATGATGGCCCAAAAATTGTAGGCTATCTCTCAGTTACGTTAAGAGATCGCTTTTCTTCATGATCGTTTTGTGATCGTGGAACGTGATCACAAGAGTGTGATGAAGATTCTTGAGCTTCTTGAATATTCACACCGTCGGAAGAAGTTTGGTTCTTCTACGTGGTAGCTCAGTCGTATGCGTTGCCTAGACGACGCTATACAAGATATGCGTCACTGTATTTGGGTAGTGTTTTACTGCTGACGACGTTAGTCTCTACGTGTCTAGGCATATTTTACTAAAGAGAAAAAGACTAGATATCCCCGCTGAATAAAACGAGATTTGGTCTTACGCGTTTGTCAGCACTTCAATGTTGTCTATCTATTAATTTCTCGATAGCCATTGATCAAATGGATCACCGCTTCTCGTTTCGAAATCATTGTTCGTCTTAATCGTTTTTTGTCAGCGCGCCTTGTGTGCACCGCGAAGAGATCGTTCTATTTATTCTGTAGCGCATTGCTGCCTTCGATGGTTTAGTCTTTGGAGACGATGAATGTACCAGCATCGTCATTATTATCAGATGAAGCGATAGCTTCATCGCAATTTCCGAGTTTTTCTTCTTTGATGCCGAGAAACTCGACATCATTATAAGCCGCGTCGACGTTGACATCGACGCGTGATGAGCAAATAGTAAATTGATTTTTTCTCGAGCGACTGCTGCCTTTTACTAATGTCACAGTCGATAAAGATAAAAATGCATGATGACTTGCTCTTTTCATTAAACCGGTGAATGCGTAGTTGATTCGTGCATCGTGTGCGAATTCTACCAACGTCAAAAACTCACTCCAAAAAGCAAAGTGAGAGGTCGAGCACTCAAAGAAACCTTCGAGAATAGAATTAGCAAATTGCGTCAAGCCGACTATTCCAATTGATCAGTAGTATACGCCTTAATCCGACTTTTATGCGGAACGGATTACAAAAATCCATAAGTTCGCAGTAGATCAAGGATTTAGATTGAAGGGGAGAATTCGGGTAGTCCTAAGGAATCAAAAGACTCTGTCGATGATCAAATGAGCGCATCACTTCAGCTGCGATCGCTTACGGGGCAGGAACAAGATGATCCATCTTATTTATTAAATCTACAGCATTAAGAATAGCATTATTTTTGCTTTTTCTATAAGAAATTAGAAAACGAAGCCCATGGAGCGGACTCCAGCACGCTACCGAAGCCAGTAGAGGACGCGACGATGCACATAAATATGTGGGAGGTTTCACAAAGTGACAAAACTCGCAAGCACGAAAGTACTCTAACATATATTGGCAACTGCGTGTCAAGTGAAAGTCTTGGCTCGCATTCAGGGTAGTCTATACATGTCCACGATAAGCATCTTGCGGTACGTACAGATCCGCAGTCGCATATCGCTATGAGTGAAAGAGACAGCGTGTTGTATGTCGCCGGCAAGTTATGTACAGTACAGTGGTCCAGCTCAAT